TTAAGCAATAGACACGATGTGCAACATTTGAAAAAGTTTTAAGAATCAATTATCTTAGACCTGTTTCATATTGTGTTGAAAATTATATGAAAAACATTAGCATCATCAATGAAGATACTCTAAAAAGGTCGATATTCCCAAGATTAAAATCTCGTTACAGTATTAGGTCAGGTGTATCTTGTTGTGACGCACCGCACTAGTGTCACTAAGTCTACGTCACAACGTGTACCAATCGTGACCAAACATGCAGGTTCCTTGATAACATGTCACCATCCTCGCTAATGATATCATGACATATTAGCAAACAAATGCCTTTTTTATTTTTCCTTTTTAATTAATTATTTGAATGCAAAGCGGATACAGGAAATATAAAATGGGAAACTAGTCAACAAAAAATGCTTTTAGTTGCTTGTAGTTTATCTTCGTGCGATGATTGATCCCTTCCCTGATTTTGCGGCAATAAACAATCTTGAACACGAGAACAATTATTTGTTATATTAAATTCATAAAAATCAGATCAGCATCTCTTGGTCTTTTGTTACACGTAACCCGGAATAATAAGCTTTCGTACAATAATGTAACGGCGCGTGTTCATCTTTTCTGATGGAGAAGAATTAGTTTATTAAGGACCTACGTGCCTTTATGTTACGCCACCACATAACGTCTGTTTTTCTACCTAATTATAACAACTGCAGGTCATTTACGTTCAAAACAAAAACTTTGTTCCCAAGTGAAATTGTGCATTTTGTAAACTGAATAAGTTAAGCGAATTCTTCACATCAGTAAGAAAAGCGCGTGTACGGAGCGTGCCTGTTTTATACTGAGACAAGTCTTAGCCACAATTCGTTTCCATATTCAATGGAATATCTTAAAAGTAATTCTCCCGCGTTCTTAATATTTCTGATTTTATGCACATGATTGTTTATGTAAACAAAAGGCCTGATACTGTTACATAAAAGGATACTTGTAATAAAAAATCTTTTAGCACCGTGTGGTTACAAAACATATTTTAATATTGTTTTCTCATGATATCACACATGATGTTTTCTTATATATCCGTATATTATTAAGACTTCGGTCATTTTATTGGTTTATACACTACTCGATGGCGATAGCACAAAGGATATACTTTTTTTCTTAAGCAATAAACTTAATGTATGCCTTTTTTACAACAAGACGTCGAATTTGCATTTTTTATCTCATATTCCCGTGGCTTGTCGTTAAAAAACTGGTTTGTTTGTTAATCCAAAGATTTCAAACAAACTGGTACAGATTATCGCACAATCTGGGTGATTATCGGCTAATTGCTTTAGCTTAGCAACATTCACATTAAAGGATAAAAGGATAACTTGGTTAATTAATAATGTCATCACTATATCGGTTAAACCCCGATTTAATCATTACTTTAATACATTGTTGTTTAACAATCTAATTAGAAAATTATACTCTTTAATTGGCGTGGTCTTTAGAAATCCCTTTTACAGGAATAACTACGCTTTGAAAATGTATCATATTTGAGTCATGTCAAACGCGAAATAATAAACATAAAAAATCTGTCAAAATGCCGCTTGTTTTTTCATACCACTGATTGTTCAGTGTTTTGTATATAACTTGTATGTGACTCAGAATGTCCCTATATTTTATTTCCCTTAGCTTTTGCTTTTGTCGTAAAAAGTGATCCAGAAGATGATGCACTGCCATCATTCAGAGAAACAGTTTAATGATAGAAGTCGTTTTTAAACGTTGGCAGTCATTGTACTTTGTATTTCAAATGTATTAAAATTGAATAAAGAAGATAAAGAAGTTTGACTTAGGCCTATTTTACTTATCATATTAATTCGCTCTATTAAAATCAAGAAGCATGATCTGGATTCAAGGGATTTTTAGCGTACGCTTACAATTTATTTGAGATAATTCTTTGGTAATTTTATATATCGAAGTACTGTTTGTTTGAGTTCCTATCATTTCGGGTTTTGTTTTCAAGTCAAGTGTATCCCATGTTTTCCGAAAGTCAAGTAAGAAAGTGGACATTTCTCAAGTTGTCAATTATCTCTTCTTTAGGACGTTATTAACCAAAATATAGAAATTATTGAAATATAAAAAGGAACTATCGAGATCGAAGTAGACTTGGCAGATGGCATATCGCTCACTTCAACATTTTAATCCGTTGTAATGTTCTGCTTATGGTTAAATAGGTTTAGATTAACATTTACCAAATGTATTTTTGACTCATGACTGTAACATATATTTTATGTCTCTTTCCAGTCTTCTGGGAGATAGTGATTGCTAATTTATACGCTTCACAGATAACAACTTTATGCCCGGATTACTGCCGGTGGATAAAACGCTCATATGCGATGAATATTTTTCCAGTTTGCGTAGTATCATTAACTATTTTATGTTTCATTTCAGGTTGGATTATCTCTGTATTCTCATCTCTTTGTGATGTTTACAATTTTATCGCCAAGTCAAGTGTAGCCTACTTTCTTTTATCTCCCATCGCCTCTGTATTGATATTCTTGGCATCTTCATTGTTTTAATGATAGCATTGTCATTTCCGACTTGTCTTTATTTATTGTGTAGTATTTGATGTCCAAAGGGATAAAATTAATTTAAATTCGGTAAGCTAAAATATGCTCAAAAATTAACGAGGATCTATTGTATGGATTCTATTGTTATGCAGAATATATGCTGATCGGTTTTAATCGGCAATTTCCGCTGTCGATAAAAGAACGGACATAAATGTGAGAAAGTTTTAAAGTCGTCATCTCACATGTGAAATTGCATTTAAAGAGTTCATATCTCTGCATAAAATAAGTATATTAGTGTTATCGTCTACTGCTGGATATTATTCTAGAAGATAAAATCCATATAAAATCCCTAAAGGGGATCTCAATACAGTTGTATATTTACGGACGACAATAGTTTTTCGTTTTTTAATCTTTATTACTAATGATTAATGTCATTTGTAAAATCTTAATACGTACGACAATGTCGAAAATATATTTTCAATGTGTAAAATAACGATTAAACTTATATTAAACAGAGACATATAAAACAAATATATATATATTTATAGGATATCCTATGATTTTGAGGAATACCATTTTTATCTACGAGGTGATATTGATATCTGCACGAGAGAGCAAAGCGAGCGAGTGCATAAATCAATATCACTGAGTAGATTAAAATGATATTCTGAAAAAATCATAGGATGTTTTTATTATCCTACACTTACAAGGAGTGACGTACAAAATGTATAATATCATTGCAAAATGAATTTCATGTCAAATAGAGTGGAAATCAACAAGCGGAGTATATCGTTACAATATCCTCCGCAAATTGGGTTTTCCGGAGTATATCGTCACGATATCCTCCGCCCGGAGTATATCATCACGATATCCTCCAGTTATTCATTTTGCCAATAGATATCAAAATTATTTTTCAATGTTATTATACATTTAATACACTAAGTGTAGGATAAGTCTCTGTATTAAAGCTAAAATTGAGTTAAGTACCTATATTCTGTATAGTTAGGAGTTAGGAATTTACCTAAAGTTGAACGTCAGATGGGATAATTATTCGGCAGCATAAATAATCTGCTTGAAATTGTAGGTCACATTTTAGATAACACTTTTATCACAAGTTACCACTAGTTGTCAATCATACTGGTTGTGCGCTACAGCCTGGTATCTTATCAACGGTACGTTATAAGAATGAAATTATAAATTATTATTGAGATTGCTTCATTTTATATTGACAACCCATCTTTGGTTCGAAACTGTACCGTAGCTTGCCTAATTGGTGCAATATTGGGCATCTAGTAAAACCAATATGGAATAATGATAAAGTCATTGATACAATCATGATAGTTAAATTATTATAGGACTTTTTATAAAAAATGTGACATAATGTTATTGTCTCCATCTTTTTTGTCGACGTTTGGCGTCTGTAACAAATGATAGGTGGTGAAATTTTTGGATGTTAATGTCTTGTTGTAGCTTGGTTTAATTCAATTAAAAGAAGATCAGGTTAAAACCATATATGCCAATGAAAACATTCTAAAGAACGTGGACAGCTTTTTTTTACTGATGGGGTAAATGTTACTCCTAATATTAGGCTACGCCATCTATCAATCATCAGAAGCTATCATTATACAAAATGATAGTTTGACTACTACGCCATCTATTTATGTTGATCTTATGGATTAGTACTGAATTGACCATTTCCATATAGCTTTGAAATCTCGCTAGTGTCTCGTTGTTATAGATTTTAGGAGATCTGCATTTTTAACAATTAAAGACTTACATTTTCTTCTATTTGATGGCATATTTGAATTATGTGTGTAATTTTCTAAAACAACTTTGATTGTGCAGTTATTTATCTTTTATTCAAAGTTTTCAAGTTATTCAAGTTTTCTAAAAAAAAGTTCGGGCCCGTAAATCCCCATTGACACAATGTTAAAAAAGCTTATTATAAGGATCACAATTTTAATGTGGAATCGCAATCCACATGTCAATAAGATCATGTTGATCCAAATGAGTTTACTTGTTAAATCAAGAAGTCAAGTGACTCTTGCTCGGGCTCTTGCTATAGGTTGTCTTGTGTATTCTAGCCCTACCACCACCCATGATGCAAATAAGACGAGCCGTAGCCATTCCGTACCGTCAGACTGGTCGCACGGTCGACGTACGTTGAACGTTTACGGTCCCCTTGCGTCTGCGTTGTTATTTGTCAAAAACCTACGACCACCGTAGGAACGCCCTAAGATGACCATGCGTCATCACTTCAAAAGCTGTGTGACATCCTTAAGTTTTCTTTATGTCTCCACAAATTCGTAGCATATGTGACGACTTGGTCGGTCGCCGAAGCAAATGTGACCGAGCCCTAAAAAGCCATACTTCAATGGGACACCAGAATATGGAATTAAATGGTTATACCCGGTGTCAATTTAAGTATAATGCCTAACATCATTAATATCAGACTCATTTTTAGGTATCTTTTATTTCATATAAATTACAATAGTGCAATACAAGATGGAACTGAAATTCAAGTTTAGGTCTATGTGACATCTTTGCTTTTAAGCTAATAATTAATGATATACTAATTCCATAATTATTAACCATGTTGAGTAATCTGATCTAACATGGTTGTACTGTGTTCTGATTAGACATAAATTGATAATGCATGCCTCGCTCTGTGGAAACCCCGTATGAACGCCGAACGGACAGCTTCTGTCAGGGCACCCATACAGCTCACTACTTTTCTCTTCAATTTCCCGTTCCTTTTAAATCGTGAGCAAACTACTGTCAAATTGCTTAAGTTGTTAGTCACCAGCAGTCAAGTCTTACACATCACAATGTCATTTGTCAAATCCATACATCAAAACGTGTAAACAAAGGTTCTTTGATTATCTTTCTCATTGTGTATTGTAATGTATTGATGCCATTTAGACTGAGCGTTTTTTCCAATATACGAAACTGCGGAACACTGAAATAAACGGATACTATTAAAATTGGAGGTATTGACACCTGCCACCATACCTATTTAATTTTAAATTTCAAGACAACAAGGCACAGGGTGAACAATATCGTACCTAAAACATAACAGTGTGGGCTTGTTGACCCAGAAAGCAAGATGGCCACCAAAAAGTTAACCAGCTCTTCTTACCATGTAACGTGTGTGTAAATACGATAAAAACCTGTGAAAACTGACCAGATGCATTCTGATCTATTCTACTCTCTCTCTCTGACCTATGCTTCGGCCCTCCCTCTCTATTCTTCAGTGAAGACAAGCTTTAGGGCTGTGAGTGCCACCACAATGGTTTTGTGTTTTTAAGTATGTAATTTGATGTAGCTTACTCTTGTGAATGTTTTATTGTGTCGTTCTGATGAGGAAGGATGACATATTCTGCATTATCACTGTCATAGCTGTAGTGAATGTTTATCCTCTTCACCTGCATCCTGAAAATAAAGGTTGTATCGATAACCTATACCACTGTACCAAGGGCATCGGAACAGATATACTCTTGCTTACTGTTAGTCTTGCCCCAAGTCGGTATTTTTACTTATCTGATAATAGAAATCAAGATAACTAATATGCTATAAAAGAGACCGACTTGGGGCAAGGCTACAAGACTGTTGACCTGGCTGTCTATCTAAACAACGCAGCTGTTAAAGTAGATAGCCCAGGGTCTTGAAGCAAGACTAGAACAGATGATTGAGTTTTTCTGGAAAGATTCCCCTGCCTCCACTCTCTGTGTAGCACGAAAAATGAATTTTTCCTTGTTCCACTGACAGAGAGAGTTGGGGGAGGTGATTTTCTTTTTATGACTCTCTTCTATATGTGGCTCTGCACGTGACGGATACTATCATCATGATAAATTATGACATCTCAAATCTGCTCAGCCCTGAGATGTTTCAAGTGAAACAGAAAGGTGCTATTAGTATCAGAATGGATACTATACTCATCATAAAACCATTTTGATCATAAAGATAGGACATAGACAATTCTCTGGCAGTTTCCATGCCTCCGTGAGATGCTCAATGTATCACCATGGCAGGTGAACTACCCCATGCGGCGGTTGAACCAGGGGTTGAACATTCGAATCCTTGAGAAAATAGTGTCCAGTTAAGTTCAGTGGGTTTTACGTACTGTAAGAGTCCACGTCTTGGGCTTGGGATTTACTGTATCATATTATGCATACCTCAGCCAAAACTCATCGTCCTCTTTTCCCCACCCCCAGTAGTTATTACTGAAGCCATTGGCCATGTAGTAGTGTAGCTTGGAGACTGCCGTGACGCCACCAAAGTAACCATGGTAGTGTATCCTACATGGAACAATCAACAGAATAGTTTAATGTAGTAGTATCATTTATCGTATGCAGCTTTGATTCAACCAAAATAATCCTGGTCATGGATCATCAGAATAATTTAATGTAATGCCAAGTAATGGCGCCTACATAGACAGCAAAATAGTAGTTTGATATTGTCACATTACTTGGAGACAAAGCTAGGTGTCAAAGGTGACAAAGAACCATAGTAGTGGTTCCAAATTTATAAACAACGTAGTAGATTGGTTACCCTTTGAATTCGTTCGACTTCACTTCTTAAAAGAGAGCTTTATGACTAGACTCAGTGGCGGATCCAGGAACCAACAGGGTGGGGGGGGGGGCCCAAGTTTGAGGTCAGAAAAAAATGTTGGGCCCCTAAAACCGAAAAGTGGGCCCAAATTTTGGAAATTTGAGGCCCATTTTCTTCATAATTTGGCCTAAAATTAAAAAATGAGGCCTTAGAAGGCCCAATAATGACCAAAAGGCCCACTTTTTTGGGGCCTTAAGGCCTTTTTGGCCTAAAATCTTTTTGGACCCAACCTTTTTTTTCTGGGCCAACCTTAGGGGGGGGGGCCCATGCCCCCCCCCCCCCGGATCCGCCATAGAGACTCTGCGTGCAGGGTATACACTATACAGTAGATTGGTCAGTAACTGCCGACTAGCGTGCCTCCATCAAAGATGGTAACCTTATGGTTGAACACCAGGGGACAAACTCAATTTATGTATTGTAGAATATGTATATCTATACTGTACATGAAGTGATATGTAATAATTACATGAAACTACTGTTTAAGATATAAGTCGTTTGTCACCGTTATGATTGACATACCCACTTGTGTATGTGTCCTCATCGAGGTTATGCTGCTTTCCCATAAGGTGTTTTGGACTATCTTTGCACGTGTACACATTGTCAAGCGTCTCTGGGAGTTTGTCTATGTCATGTAAGATGAAACAGTTTACGTCCGGTTCTAGCTTTAAGACCTCTACCACGCCAACGTTGAACAGTTTCCCCCTGTTGAAGTTCTTTGTGTTGCCCTTTAATGTATGGATTATTTATTGTGAATTATTTGATTTTGGAAATACCAACAATTCAAAGAGTGACTTTGAAGTTGGCTGCGATACTTGCCATTCGGCTTTGAAAACCAGAAGATGTATACTAATTATTAAAGACATTGAACTATTCGTAGTTGCTGAACCTGAAATTAAACATATGGAAAGGGGGAGTTGTCATTAGCCTTGACCAGCGCCTCACCTGTTCAATGATATAGACCCCATAATCTATTTGCTGATGTTGTAAAAACGGATGCATATGATTAAGGAATATTTTTAAGTTCTCTTTCCTGTCTCTATAAGGCACCAGAACGGCGACTTTTTCTCTCAAGCCATGTGTGCAGTTTGGAGTCCACAATCCACCCGGTCGTATACCGCCATACATTTTAGGAGGGTATTTAAGATCAAGTGGCATCTTTCCTACAACAATGGAAAGTTACAAGCTCGATTGCTTGATGTGTCAATATAAGGTACCCAGGGGGGAGGGGTTTAAGTTTACCGATGGCCGTGTGATGATTTAATGACAAGATTATAAAGACTTCCAAGATCGCCAACAGAATGCAAGATGGCCGCAAAAAATTACAATTACAATATTGAGAGACCTAAACATGTTGTGTTTATGTCGTTTTGTTCCAATGAGGTTCGGAAAGATGTTTCATTTCACTCTGGAAACATGATACCAAGAACAAAACAAATGTTTGATGTGTTTTCTAAAACAATATAGATGAAAGTATATATATGTTTTTCAAATTATATTGTTACCATTCAAAAGATGACCATTAAATTGACGATGTATTAAATTTTTAGATTTTTTATGACTGGTTCAAGAGAAACGTTTGTTCAAAAAGTTCCCCATATCGATACCACTCCTTTGAAGTAAATTCGTTAGGTTGTTTTTCTGAAATCGCGATGACAACTCGCTCCACTTATGCATTCTTTCTCAGTCTTTCAAACGACCCTAAATTCACAAAAGGTAGAGGACGCATATTTTTTAGCTCTAAAATCCTGTATGATGGTGACAATTTTGATGCATATTTTACCATTATTAAAGCATGTGAAACATTAACGTCTAAAAGATGATCATATTTTGGGCTTGTCAAAGAGAACTGCATCTGCAATACACACCAATGTCTAATGGATGATAATATCCACACAGCTTAATTCGACATTATATCACAATGAGGGCAGTAGCATAACACAGTTAAGAACTTACAAATAATTGATAAAACATATACACGTAATAAAACGTATTTTATCGTTTATGTTAGAAATATGAAATCCCGTGCTTTGAGGACCTACTCCCAAACATGCCAAAGACATTGTGTTAACAATCTGGAAAATATCATTGATTATATCCTTTAGAATCCGCGTTTATTTTAGGCTCGAAAATTTAAAAATTGTTTTGTCAAATATTTTATCTTTAAAGCTGGTTTTGAGAAAAAAAAGTATTAAAAGAACAAACCTATGTGACAATGATAACACATTGTGCCATTGTTAAAATAACATAATGTTAACATCACTGAAGAACGATGAAGTATTTAAAAGAAAATCATAATTAAAAAATATATATGCCTTTGCTCGTTTATACTACCATCTTCTGAGAAAGCAAGACTAGTACACATTTTCACATTCCCGAGTTAACGCAACAATGTCAGCTCAACCTCCCATACCTTTTGCTGGTGAACACCTATCTTTTGTTTCATCGATCTCCACCAAAGCCTGTCCTTCGTTTTCTTGATATAAATCAAAATCTCTCATTACATTGTCATTTGGTTTAAACGAGTCTTTGACCAATTGCATTGTATTCATCAGTACGGCACCTAAACACAACATTCCAACTGACTTTAAGAGCTTTAATCTTCGCTTCAAGAGAACCATTATAAAAACCAGTCGTGTGATTAATATCCAACTATATTAATAGTTTGTTAAACGTAGTCACCTATCTGCTGCAGTTACACGATAACCGAAGTTCCCGTCGTTATAATGGCGAACGGGCTGAATGAGCTTCTACTTTTCTTTGTATATTTCTTGGCTAAACAAACAGACAAATGCTAGCTAATAAAAACCTGTCTTCGGGTCATAGCTTGAGATGCCATGACTCTGTCTCAGAGTAAACATTTATTTGTACAGAGGAGAGGACTGACAGTTTTGATATAAAACAATACCTATTCTCTATGACCATGATTTTTACGCTTATAAACCATCCTCTTAGTTCTGGAAAGTGGTAATATGAGCATCATGGGTTGCAAGTCTAGAGATGTGATGGATATCAGAATGAGCTAATGCTTGGGCAAAACCCTTTCATCTGGGCCTCATTTTCAAAAATTGACCGTATTAGAAAATTGCCCTACATATGGTTAATATCTATTATTTTGGGCCCATCGTAATTCGAATGATAGGGATGGGAGCAACGCCATCTATATCAGTTAGTCCTATAACAGACTATCACAACGGCCATTGCTGATAACATAGACGTGAATTACTTTAATCGTGTTATTGGAATTTTCGATGTTTTTATTGATGAACCTTTGTCATGTTTTTACGGTATCCACCCTTAGCACGTTTTTGTAATTCAACACTATTCATATTAAAACAATAAATGAAATGCTAAATCATGAAATGATGTTGAGACTTGAAGCTTTACAAGCTACCTTTACATGGACTAGATGATTTATCATTTTAAACATATTTCAAGGATAGTGTGATGGTGAATATATATTATTTAGCGATGTACTTGTAACATACTTTTGAGGTAACACACGCACAATTAAATTTTCATTCCTTGGGTCCATGCGCACATATATGCAGATATAGTTAGGCAAGATATATCAATTCCAGCCGATTAGAACCAGGGGTTCTATTATTATGTTATCCACAAATCCCCCCCCCCCCCTTCATCGGGGTACCTCACATAAAAGCATTTTTGTATTTGTCGTACATACAATTTGCACCCCTCCAAAAGTTTGGCAACCGTAACACCCCCATTGAGCGTTTTTGGTGAATCTTTTACTGAAAAGATATTGAAATCTGGGGGCAAAATCATACATTTTAATATAACATTTGTTTAATGAAATCCAAATCAAGGGTTAGCATACATTGAGCTAACTTTTGTTAAGGGCAAATCCTAACATATCTTTAATGAACATATTTTTAACGAGCTATTTTATTTTGAAATCCTCATTCCTAGTTCATTCTTTAGGGTTCATTCAAAGATATGTCAAATTCTGAAACATGCAATTCCCACACTTTAATACTGAGATTAGATGATTTTTTTGAAATATTCCAAATGAAAAGACTTATTTTATTTTGTAAAAGAAGAGTGCTCGACCTCATGTGCTCCAAAAGCGCTAAAATTAAACATTTCTTTTAAATTTTAATGCCTTGCAACAAAAAGCACCTAGTGCTGAAAAGACCTATTTGTTCTTTCTTTGAATTGAAAATAAAAAATAATCTGTACTTAATAACTTAATAACTATTTTTTACGGTTTGGCGAATGTAAACAAAGGAGGTTACTTCGCTAAGGCTTTAGAACCACACTATGCCCAGGTATAGATTTGTTACCCCTGGAAGAGTAAAATCAATTCCCTAGAGACTGGGCGCTGTTGTATCACCCTCAGAAATAGCTGTGGAACATTATCTCCATTTCTGCAGAGTAAGGTCACCATTTTTACTGAAATGATCAGTTATATTTCGTGGTAATGTCAACAAGTTCATTACCGCGGATTAGATCATAAACGGACGGTGAAAATGTTTCTATTATCTAATATATTCTTGGGGACTTATCAGCCCCGGGGACTTAGCAGGAATTTTTTGTTTGAAATAAAACAAAACGGAAACGAAACTGTTTTCATCAGTATTTAGACAGTTGGTTTATTTCACCGGAGATGGAGCAGCTTTTAAGTTGGAAAATAAATTGTGCGAAATAATTGATATTTCTTTTTTTTTTGCATAATGTCATGATGCTCCGGGGTCTTCCCAAGATTAAACAATCCCACCCCGTGCCTAAGGTTTCCCAAACTTGGAGAGAAGTGTAACTTTATTGTTTTTTATCTACTGGTCATATAAATTGAATATATTTTTCTGGTTATTGCAATGAATTTTTCCACAAATATTTTTTTGGGGAAATCAAGACCGGGCCGGGGGTTCGTCCGAACGCATCGAACCCCCGGTCCCTACGGCTATGTAAATAGTAATGAATAAGTAATGTTCGGGTTCTCAGAAGAAGGATGAGGTATTACGATTTAATAATATGTGTGACTCTTTTCTTCATCCTAGGTTTTTCAGACAATATAACCCATTTGATATTTTCTAATTGTCAATATCTTTGGTCCATTCCCTGACTCATCCATTCTCAAGAATTTCTCAAATACATCAATGCCAAATTGACTAAGAACTCTCAAAACATCACATCAGGCTTCAAATTATTTTGCGTCAATGTAAAAAACATGGAACACTTCCCTCGCTGGGTTCATAGATCTCCTGGACATTCTAGAACAATTTGCGAGGCTGCATCAAAAGGAGTGGTATCGATATGGTGAACATTTTGAACACGCGTTTCTCTTAATCCAGTCATCAAAACATTCTGAAAATTTTACACATCGTCAATTTAATGGTCATCTTTTGGATGGTAACATAATAATTTGAATATTTCTCTATATTGTTTAAGAAAACACATCAGACACTTCTTTTGTTCTTGGTACCATATGTTCGGATTGAAATAAAACATCTATCCGAACCTCATTGGAACAGAACGACATAAACACAACGTGTTTAGGTCTCTCAATATTGTAATTGTACAAAGGAAAGTTTGGTTGATTTTAAAAAAGTATCTTGTTAATGGAATAAAAGGTTTATCTTAATGTTTATATATATTTTTTTTTTGGGGGGGGGGGGTTGTTTTAAGTTTTTGCATACTTTTTGTTAAATCAACCAAAATTTCCTTTGTATAACTATAATATTGAGAGGTCTAAGAAAATGTTGTATATGCTATTTTGTTCCAACAAGGTTCGGAAAGACATTTTATTTCATTCTCAAGAATTGGTAGAAAGGAACAAAAAAAAATAATTGCACTAAAAAACAAAAAATGTTAACAAAAACAGTAATATAAAATATATATATATAATTTTTGCATTAAATTGTTGCCAATCAGTCAACATTACATAAAGGACCGAGTTTTTTACAGAATGTTTTCAATAATTGGCTTAATAGGAAAACATTGTTGAATTCAGTTCACCATATCGATACATATCCTTTTAAAGCAAAGCAAATCTTGGAATTCCAAAATAAGAATAAAAGCTCAAAGCTTGTTTTCAATATTAAGCAATTTACAGCATTTGTCATAGAGACTAAGAAAAGATGGAGCGACGCTTTGAAATCATTTGCTGGTTATACGGATAAGTGACAGGAAGCAAGGAACGCAACCCTTGCCATAGCGTATTTGTAATTATGCATCTGTAGAAAATGAAAATTGAATTTATTGAACATTTTTCAGTAGAGTATGCGCGGAGGAAGGGTGTCTACTGTCTACTAGAGACAGGCGTTCACTAGAGAAAAGTGTTCATTAAGACAGGTTTTACTGTATACGAGGGGTGATCAATAAGTAATGGACGCTTTTTTACACAGATGCTTTTTATGGACCAATCCCTTCGATTTTCTTACCAGTGATACATCATTCAATTCATTTCATTCATTCATTCATTCATTTCCGTGAAGGAGGTACGGGTACCCTGGGACCGACATTTACGTCACATATTCTGAAGCTATTTTAGCTTGTTTAACATGCAATGCAGTTGAATGTAGGCTGAACAAAACAAACCATTATGGTCATGAATTACCCCATTTTGTTATGCCATAGTTGATTTTGAATATTTTATCATTACTATGTGGTATTCATTCCACATTCATTCTACAGGGCCCTCTAAATAGGTTCCATCAAGTGCTACATGTATACAATTCCTCATCCTCTTAACTCAAGATTGTGAGACAAGGCTGAATCCATTTTCTGACATGGTAGCAAGATACAGCTGCATGGGTTGTTTTATTTAATCAATGTTAATAAACCTGCGTCCTTTCTCTATAGAAATAAGTAGTATAGAAATAAACAAGGCACATGTGAGCAGATGTGGGCAATATAGTGCATTGGCCAAGGGCTCAATCTTGAGGGATATTGTTTTATGAACATTTTGTGATCTGTGGGCAGGTGCATTGCGCATATGGAGTAGGGTGTTCCCTTCTCTCACCACCCCTTTCTTCCACAATGCTTTCTCAAATTGACCTGCAAACCCCTTCCATACAACACTTTGACATTACAATACTTTCTGTTTATGTGTTACCAGTCAGCAAAAAAATTCAAACAATACAACACTTCTTGCATATAAAAAGTTCAAATCTAACTCAAATTTACCAAACTGGCTAAAAACTGAATATGTGACGTAAATGTCGGTCCCGGGGTACCTGTACCTCCTTCACGGAAATAAGGATATATCAACATGTATTACATATTTTGTCTTCAAATTTTCAGAATTGATAGATAATTGAATGATGTTTCACTGGTAGGAAAATCAAAGGGATTGGTCAATAAAATGTATCTGTGTAAAAAAGCGTCCATTACTTATTGATCACCCCTCGTATAAATGAAAAGGAAACCAGAAAATAAATAACCTAATAATGCATTGACAAACTGATAATATGAGTTTTATTTTAATGTTGAAACTTGTGGAACTTATTTTTGTAAAAATAATTCAGCCAACACCGTATTATAGAACATAAAACAATTTAAAACTTAAAAACTATGCAAAGAATATTTCGGTGTGACGATCAGTTTAATATATGCGTTATGTTGTTGAAAATTCCCTAGGATTAATGATGTCACAATGTAAATTAGCTAAGTGTAACCTATGAAGAACTCTCGCGTTTATTTGAAAGAATTTTTAATAAACGAGGGGAAAAACATTTTAAGGGGATTTCCGATGGACATTTCGAAAAAATGGGTCGAAGTCCTAGCCATGTTTTGTCCATCTCTAGTTTCCTTTTATAAGTGTGTGTATCATCAAACACAAATGTATTTAGCTTCAGAGGTTTATTCTCCATTTTGAAAATTCTAAATGGCCACCAGGGAATTACTTTTTCCCTACAATGAGGTGGTGCTCCGTTAAGGGGACTTTAACCTGGTTGTATATGTGTATATGCTATACTAGTATATTCTAAACCCTTTCCATTGTTTCAAAACGAGCATATTTAATACAATGTAACTTTAGGGTTGCGATGCACAACACAAATTGGAACATACATTACAATTTATTGTCCCATTTATTTATCAGATTTTTCTTCTGAACTTTTTTCTTCTGAACTTCCATACATTTTTTCACACATATCTTCTAAAATCACCATGTCTCCAACATAACAATTCCCTTCGGCGTCCCTGTACACTCCTACAACGCAAGAACAATGACATAAAATGAACTTGAAAATCATTTGCAGTAATCAGAAGGTAGTCTTGGGAATCAGGGCAGGTGTTTGCGAATTTTATTTTATTCATTCATAAGTTCGTTATACATCATTATTATGCATTTCAAATTAATTTTTATTCTAATAACGTCTAGACGTTTTAAGATTGGTGTAACTCCTACCTAATCTGTCATCGTATGTCATCCCTTCAACTTTTGACCAGTCTGGACCATAAACTCCCCCCTCTCCTATACTACCTGGGCCAAACTTGTCGCGAACTGAAAATATGAAATTTTGTGTGTATAAACTCTGTGGGTGACAACAGGATCCACGTTAATGCCATTACTAAAGAAACTGGGAAAGCAGAGTACCATCGTACTTTACTTTATACCTTTGCGCATGCAAACTGTCTCAGTATCACCTGAGACCATCATAAAAATATGTTAGTCTCATGTATCACTCATCAACCGGATTGTATGTGATTTAAGGGAAAATAAATTATGTTTGATGAGACAGAAGTGCAAGCGTGAAATCACTTATTGGTAGAAACATGTATAATCGGTGAACACCACTAACTACCAATATAATTAAGAACCTACATTCTTTTTCCATGCTGTCAGTAATCTCGGGGGTATCTGGTGAGAGAGTTAACTCATCGTCATCTGTCGAAGGTGGTCCAACTTCGACCTTAGTTGATGGTGGTCCAACTTCGACCTTAGTTGATGGAGGTCTGACTTCGACCCTAGCATCCTCTGACTCTGGAATCCGAGCGGGAGGTTCAGCAGCTAGGGTTACAGCTGTTGGGGGTATAGCTGTTGTAGGCACATCTGTTTGAGGTATAGCTGTGGCAGAAACCTCCTGTAAGCACGAAGTCCAATGCTCGTTAACTTGAATATTACAAATTATGATACAATACATTGTTTAAAAAATTTAAAATGCAACCCTTGAAAGTAGCACTTGTATTGACACATAAATAGGCTCCAAATCAAATGACAATATGTCAAACTTTTCAGATAAATCATTAAACTACTTTTCCATATATGACATAATATAGATGTTCGGTCATTCAATCTCCAGTCTAACAAGTAAATGCTAGTACTTACCACCATTAAACAAAAGATCATCAAAAACGTATCCATCATTATAATAAACTCCGTATTCTGCTGGTTCAACTTGCCCTTTGCAATATTTTAATGAATCCACATTTACATACCAGTTGGCATTCAGAATGTAATGAATACTAGTTTTACGCTAATTTCATAATTTGGCATTAATTGTTATATTCAAATTAAATATTGGAAAGATGACTAAAATCGGAAATTGTGTGTCAGTGGTATTATTCCTACATAACCCCATTCTGATAGCTTCATTGTATCTTTCCATTTTGCAATGCAAAAATGCTGCCATGGATACGCAAAATAATTTTTCATTACTCAAATTGAATACAAGGCTAATATATACATAAATAGTTTTATTTTTGTTTTGTGCTAATGATCGAATTAATTCTAGGATGGTTGTATTTTAGTAGATCTCACACAGTGCATTCCTCCGCTTGTGTGTTTGTGTAATAGTAGTTCTTCCCCTCTGCACCCAGGGGTTTCACTCCAATATACTTCGATGCATCGATGCATTCGGCTGAAATGAAAAACATCGAATATTGATAACATATTGAACTTCATTTACATCTTCAAAGGCGTTTATTTATTTGAAGCATTTACAGAAACTTTGGGAGCATCGGGAATGCTTTTAAATTGTCATTTGCTTTGACGCCTATTTCGCATAATATTCCATCAAAATAAACCTGGCTAATAATTGATATTTATATTTCCCCTTCCCTCCACCTACATCCTTCAATATAAGTTTGTCAGGGAAATTCTTTTAGACATTTTTAAATCAGCTATCCGTTCTTCTGGTCTCTTCAGTATCTGGTTGCAATGATGTAGAATTTTTATGTTAATCCCAGGATTGTGGTCGGTGATATTCGGAGCCTGGGGACACTTATATACAACGGTTCCACTTCCATCCACTAGCCTAGCATTCTTGAAATCATCTTAAAATGCTTTATTGTAGTGACGTACTTGAACTTAAATGATAACCATCACTAAAAGTCTTCCTTCATTGAAGAAGATTGCTAAATAAAAAAGAATAGATGAGAGAACGTATGCATTTCTCGATTTTGGAAAACTGATTCATTTTATGGCGATGTCCCAGAATCTGTTAGGCCACAATGCAATAAGTTCTATAAGTGCGATTCATAATTTTATGAGGTTCATTTGATGACGAAGTATTATTTTTTGATTTTAATAAAGTTTGTTGTAATTTTAGAAGACACGTTGGAAATATTTTTACCCTGGCAATACATTGGTGATCTTTATCAAAGTCACGACTTGAAATGAGCAGATAGAACGCAGGGTGTCTTGACTTATAACGATAAAAATAATGAAATAATCGTTTTCATGCATTCACCCTTGTTCCAACTCGAACTTATCTATCTCCATAAAGCAGGAAGATTTAGTAGACATAATTATGTCAAATAGTTGGTGAATAATCAGTTCTAATGAGTAGAACTCTTAAATCATTTACTTCATAAACGTCTGCACTGGAAGCCTTTGTTGTACTTGAAATGTGATCTAGATCGCTCCTAGAACTGTCCCCTTTCATTTTTAATCTGGTGATAGGGTTTTAAAGATTCTAAAGAGGAAACAGCTGTGTAAATTTTAATGTTTTGAAATGAAACCGTCGGTACTCTATCCCTGTTTGTTTCCAATGAGAAAACAGTCCGCCAATTTGCCAAACTCAAGGCCGAACAATAAAACTCGGTAGTCATATAACTTCAATCACTGGTGGATATAGTTGTCAATTTTCCACTTATGCAGCAATATTAGAAGTTATTATCGCTGATTGGATGATAAAACCTGGGAGATTGCTGCTTACTTGGATTAAATAAATATTTCTCAAACACTGTGGAAAAGTCTGACGGATGGTTAACAAGGCCATTCATTAATTAAAATGGATTTAACTGTTCTTTCACTTGCTGGTTTCTGCCTAATATCGGCGTTGACCTACTTAGAGGTAGATATGAACATTATGTATGATTTATTGCTATTTTGGAAGAAGTTTTGATACAATGTTCTGAATGATCATTTTCCGATCCTTTCAGGTCGTGAGTTATCGAAATATAAACACAGAATTAATAAAAGTTTTCAATCTGGAATTTTAAAAATTATTTTGAACTTGAAATCGGTGGCACTGGCAAAGCAATGGACATATATATATGTAGAAAATGTAGGTTTGTGAAAGCAAATATTTTAGTGAAGGCGATCCTTGAAAGCATAACTCGATAAACACGAGGGTGTATTTCTAGGTATCAGCTACCACTAAATCAAGTGGTCGCCTTGTTCTTGAAGCTGCTCAACGCCATTTACGAAGACAACAGAATCGGATGTTCGACACCCCGGTAGATGGTTCTGAAATCATAGAATTTGACATCATACTCACTTCCGAGCAAGCTGAATTGAGGAGGTCATTGAAGGGGGGTCGCCTGAAGCGAAAGGCTATAAGAGATGAACGATATCGTTGGGACGATGGAGTTATACCTTACGTTATGCACAGATCCCTTGGTGAGTGTTGTAGTGACCAGTTTCTGTGTTTTCCTTTTGACTTTCAATGCGGTGTTAGAGACGTGAATGTGATGACGTTTACTGTATAAGTGATATTTAGTCTGTTAGTCCGAGTGGTTAAATTGCCGAATGGTAAAATTTTATAATTTTCCTAATTTTAGTTTTCCTAATGACAAGAAACTTCTCACTGGATACTATTATGAAGACAATTTTTCCGACATTTAATTTTCCGAAACTTGCAAAATTACCACCTATACAATATTTATATTTTGACAACCGATAAGATTGAATTCACTTTAATTACAGGATATGTTTCAATAACAGCCGAAGATACCATCAGAAAGGCAATGGGACATTGGCAGGATCACACTTGTCTTAAATTTGAAGAGTATGACTCTGCGGTTCATGGCGATGATCATCTCATCTTTAAGGAAGGAAGCTGGTATGCAGAATATGTATGCAGTCAGTCATCCCGTGGCACTATTAAGTCAAATATGATAGCAGTATTTTGTACTACAATTTCCAAACAATCTTTATGATTTCCTGTGGAGTTCCAATAATCACATTTTGTGTCAAGTGTAAAATATTTCGTATTTAATGCTCGTATATTAATTTATAGGTGTGCATCAAATTTGGGCAAGATAGGAGGATCGCAAGAAATTATCATACACTCTGACTGCTTGGTGAGGAAAACAACTATTTCATGTTTGATTTTCATTTGAACAAGCATGCTCAACTCTAATGGTATAGTGTCAACCATACCAGCTGCTTCCAAGGGGTGGGAAATGTTGAAATGTTAAACACGCCTTGTTTGGGCCTAAGATATATTCCTGAGATCAGGACAGATATTCTCATTTTGTCCGTGACTCCATGACGCTTTGTGAACAGTTTGTTCTGCTTCATCTATTGTACTATATCCAGTAATGTAGGCTCTGACTCCCGTTTCGTTTCCGATCAATTTGGTACTTGTCGCTGATTGAAAGGAGACAAACAAGACACTCATCGCTATGGCGGATCCGGGGGGGGCCATGGGGCCCGCCCCCCCCCTAAGGTTGGCCCAGAAAAAAAAGTTGGGCCCAAAAAAATTTAAGGCCAAAAAAAGGCCCCAAAACTGGGCCTTTTGCTCATTATTGGGCCTTCTAAGGCCTTATTTTTTTAATTTTAGGCCAAATTTTGAAGAAAACGGGCCTCAAATTTTCAAAATTTGGGCCCACTTTTCGGTTTTAGGGGCCCAAAATTTTTTTTCTCGGACCTCAAATTTGGCCCCCCCCCCCCTGTTGGTTCCTGGATCCGCCACTGCATCTTTATACGTTATGATTTATCTTGTTCCAACACCATCCTCTTCGTTTCAAACGTAGAGATAGTCTTGGAACGAGATAAGTTATGATGACAATACTAGTGATTATTTCCAGACGTTCGGAACAATGGTGCACGAAATAGGTCACGCAGTAGGGTTCATACATGAACATTCAAGACCAGACAGAGATGACCACGTGACGTAAGTTAACATACAACTTGGCGTCCAGGGGTTTCTCTTTTTTATAATGACATTTACGTAAAAACCATATGAAATTGTGACCAAACAAGTACTATTCTACTACAGAACTGCAAACAAAAGTCTAATCGCTTGATGAACACATGTCAGTGCTCGTAATATTATATTAAGCATACTACACAAAAAGACAAGAACATTGTCAAACATTGAGTTCTGTGCCTTAAAGTGACTTTTCTTTTCCAGAATACAATGGAACCGAATAACAGACGACTTCAAGACTCAGTATGACAAGGAACCAAGGACATTCATCAATACGTACGGTGTCCCATATGACTACAGTTCAATCATGCACTATCCTGATAACGGTATTGCCATACAACCATATTAGATTTATTGTGTCACCAGGATACAAGTAGTAGCATATCGAATTTTTTATGGACGGTATTCGGTGGTCGTCATTTGGCGACCGGCGTTTGGCGTCTGTAACAAATGGGAGGTGGTGACATTTTGCATGTTAATGGCATATTTTAGTTTGTCAGAACCCGCTGTAATCGTGTTGTTTTCTTTGTAAGTATTGTCTGGTTTCCTGATGTTATTTGCTTATAAGTCATTCTCAGTTTGGTCCAATATAATCTTTGACTAGACAACACAAGGAACTTTTCTTTTCTGCGTCCCCTTTGCTTGCTTACTAATTTTGGACTTCATATTTGTATACTATGGCCTCTTACTAGTCAATAGAATGAGGTGATGCTTAGGATTATTATATCATTTTCAAGTTCTCTGTTGTCACATTTTCTTCCTTGTTTGTTCGCAGGTGGTACTTTACGTACAGTTGATCGTATCGCCCAAAATACCATCGGCCAGAGAGATGCATTGAGTTTCTATGACGCAAAGCTAGCCAACTTGATGTATAAATGTAAAGGTAAACTTAGTTTTTATGATAGTCCAACTAATGCAGTTGTTTATCAACTGCCACTATCCAAAAACACAATCATAAACGTTGGCTTCTTAGACTATCTTCCTCAGCCATCGATACCTAAGCCGAGATACGTTTTCGTTCAGAGTTCAATGCATAAATATTTTGTCTACATTTTTCCATGGTTTTACCTTTGCATTCGTCCGGCTTCACTTCTTTATAACTAGACTCTGCGCGCAGGGTACCATGGTTTCGATATGAGCAATCTCACTATTTATATTAACTCTGCATTTTGGCCCTTTGTAGAGCGATGTCCAGCCTCGGTGCGATGCATAGAGCCTGGCTTTGTTGGTGCCCAGTGTACGTGTGTATGTAGTAGAGGAGATGACTCGTGTGCTATTCCAGAACGACCTCGTCCCACACCTTCCCCTACAAGTCCACCTACCAGGGCACCTAGACCTGTAGAGACTCTACCACCAACCATAGCACCAACCCAACGGCCAGCCCCTGGTAATAAATGCGTTAACGTTCAACTTGTGTTCATTATTGACTATTAGGCCACAATATGAAATACAATGACATTACTTGACATGACATGGCATGGCATTATGCGAAAGTGGCCACCCATCAATTAACCTAAAAAAGTCTCTTTTTTAACAATCCTATCATTTGTTCATCTGTCTACTCGTAGGTGGCACTGAAGAATGCAACTGGCTCTATGCGGCTGGTAAAGCACGGTATCTCACCCACGACAAAACTATCAAGAACCTGAACATTGCTGAATGCAAACTAGCTTGCTTGGAAGAGAAAAGTTTCAATTGTAAGGCGTTTCACTATAAAGCTGGCTTCAGGATCTGGATTATAAGTAGCCCAAGTTATTGCCATCTCAGCAAGGAGGTGGACAAGATTGGACGTTTCCAATCCGAAGTAGGAGGCTTGACCTACTTCCAGAGGCCAAGCTGCCTCATGGGTAAGATTTTGAATCCGAATTAAAACCGGTATGAGAAAAATGTTTCATAAAACACTGTATTCAAAAACATTAAGAGTGTAACCCACCCAAAAGAAAATCCCCAGTATCCCAAGCTATGATTCGACGCACAAAATTAGTGAAGGAGTGATTGTTTTGGTATTTATGTATTGTATCTTTATAGTTAGTAAGTAACATGTGTTTTCAGAATGCCATGGGTACACCTCATTTATTGAGATTAAACCACCAAACACGATATTATTATTTAAATGAGTTATATTTTCTCTTAGATGTTAATTATTCCACCATATCGAGTCTTGGGCTAATATAATTCATATGCATTTCAATGCTATTTATTGTGCTTTTCTGCAACACAGGTTCTATGTGCGGCTACCAGACAGTTAGTGGTAAATACCTAAGAGGCTTCAACAACAAAGGTCCAATCAAGGGCGTCTCCGTTGCTGAATGCAAACTGGCCTGCTATCAAGAGACAAGCTTTAACTGTAAATCCATAGACTACAATTCTAACGAGAGAAAATGCTTCCTCAGTTCGAAAATAGAGGCATCCAACAGATTGCAATCAAATGTCGATTTGACATATTTCTACAGGAAGGCCTGCGTTATGTACAATGATCAGAGAGCTGAAGGTAAGTTTGTCAGATGAAGTTTGTGAACGATAAAACCTAGTATATTTTGTATGTATCTGGTGCTAATAATTTATCATTCGAAAGTGACATCTATTAAGCCAGTAAAAAATTAAGCCAAAAAATATTTGAAATAAAGAACAAGGATTATTTTTCCTAAACTGAGCATATTCTTAGCTTAGAACTGACTGCTAGACCTTTTTTGGTTAACTTAAACAAGAATAAAAGCATATGAGCTGGTCTGTGATCTTATTTAAGTGTCTTGCCCAAATGGCTGGAGAGTATTTGAAGGCAGATGCTACTTGGTGGTGACAGATAGATACAACTTCACCAACGCTGTAGGCAACTGTAGGGTAAGTTACTGTAATATTAAGAAACGATTTCCATCTTTCAACATAATTGGGACAATAGATATTTAGAAACTTGGTATGTTTTTACAAACTGTGTACGATATATTAGGTGACAATTTCAAACGTATAATTTTTACATAGATTAAGTTTAACATTTAGTTTTTATGGAATAAAAATATGACTTGAAAATTTTAAAATCATGCCTTAATCTTATTCCCAAAAATAACAATTTAAATGACGCTCGCACCTTTCAAAGGGTATATTGGAAATTATATATTGGACAAATTACAATGATTTGTGTTATAATAATAACCTTTTACAGAAAAAGGGTGGATATCTGATGATGACTCGAACGTACTCAGAGGAGGTCCAAAGAATGTTCTTGAGCGGCATGATAGGGAACAGAGCATATTGGGCAGAAAGTGAGATTCCCATTCATCAAAGTGGTAGATCAACGAGACTTAAAAGATGTTCGTACATGACTCCCTCTTTAGACTCAGTTAGCTGGCAATACAAACTATGCACCTACAGGGGCGCATACATCTGCGAACGAGGACCACTCCCATCATAACATCACGAATGTCTTCATAATCATGAGAACATTATGCTCTACTTTATATATTTACTCAATATAGAAGTATAATAGGAATTCTATTCTAGAATAATTAGACGTTTTTACTCCTTATTGGAGAGGTAAGCTGTTTTGAGAGAACTTGTACGTGAACGTGTAATGCCCCCAGGAATTATCGTCCTAATCTTTATTAGTTTTCCAGAGACCTGTTTATATTTACAACCATTTTCTTTATACCTTTATACTTCCTTGGCTTAGTAATAACTAGGAAAGGGAGAACTAATCCCTCGAGGACCATAATTCTATTCGTTCACGTGTACACACGTTCTTTTTAAACGTGTAGCTTCATCTTCCTATCAAATCTTAAAACTGGTGCCGCTCAGGCTGTCTGTATTTCTCCAAAAATGTATTATCATCTTAGGCACAGTTAGTTACATTTGTAAGGCATAGAAAACCTTCGTGTCAGCCAAATCTAACACACAATATTATGTAACTCACCAAGCAGATGGTTGAAAATAAAGGATTTTATTTACAAAATTGATGTTGTTATGTTATGTACATTTATATCAGGAAGCAATACGGTGAAAATAAAGCATGAAGGTAATGATATTCTTTCGGAATGTTGGGTGTTTTTTAAAGGTCAGATGAATTTTCCGTTGATATAAATTATCCAGAAAGCCCAAAAACTGGCGTGTACAGCTTGTAGTCACAATGAAATACAAAGCTGTATATTTCCACCATATGAACATAAATGGCACTAGTGTGTTGTCACATCATTTACAAAGCGAAGCAATCCGGAGTAAGTTCCATGCCATCCTGGTGTTTGTTTAGTAGTGTTTCAGCCAGATCGTGTTTCCCTGAACTCCTAAGAGCGCGGTCCAAATCTGCAACCTTGTCCTTCTCTTTGGCGGTCTCACGCATTTGTTTCCAGAACATCAGTACTTTCCTGGACATGTCGGCCACGTTAGCTTGGCTGGAAGGGTCTATTGTGTAGTCAACTAAACGTGTGTTGGGAATATTCAGGTACATTCCTAGAATGATGGGGTCGGGAATCTCTTTAGCAAGATATCCCAGGCTTCCTTCTGTGAGAACCGCGGCCTCTTTTGGCTTCTGGGGTTTGTCTGGAAGTAAAGTTATTATTGTCGTTACTATATCTAGTATGTTTGATTGTCAATAATATTATTCCACTGTATAAAGGATCATTTTTTCTGTATCAGAATCCCGATCAGAATTCTCACTTTATTGAATTGAAAAGCGGGATCTTTGTCACCATGCAGCGAAAGACCGTCTAGAGGATTCTGTTGTGTAGCATCTTTAACAATAATCTACAGTTAGAAATGACTTAAAGATGTTCAAAGGATTTCAACGTCCAGGGATATAAAAGCAAGGACGTCCATCTCATAGAAATACGCTTTCCGTGAAGGTTGTAGAATTAATGCTATGTATGTATTTTGGGAGTTGTTGATTGAAATAGTTTGTTCTTGAGTTTTAATTTCTTCTGAACATTTTGGATTATCGAAGTATGAAATTTTTGAAGATCAAACTGGTAAACGAGTACGATACTGGGTTTAATGATTCGACTATTGACTAAGTCTTTCAGCGGACAATATTCTCCATTCTGCTGGTAATACACAGTTCAATTTTGCGGGAGAGTGAATATAGACATTACTAGACATTACTTTTTAGCCCTATAACAGATAGGACCCTTCACTTGGCGTGAATAGAACAATTGTCCCAAGTTCAACTTGGTTTGTGTTGTAGATTTTATGTTACCGAAGGGCCTTTAAAGGTATTACTAGGCCTAGTATTCACTTTATTGATTTCTTTAATAAATTATTTACTTCAATCGTATTTCATTTGTGTTTTATTTCCTTTGAAGATAAAGGAGTAGAAACCAGAGTGATTAATGGTACTGTACTATGTAGCCATTATCTGACACAAGCTAGCAACGAATGATCGCAGTTGAGTTTGTGATACGGCGGTATCACTGTGAATACTATCATATTAGCCGATTTAGATTCATGTTAGATTTAGATTATGTTGTTAATACATACTACCACAGTTTTTTAACGGAACTAAAAACCTTTTTAAAATTTGTACAAACTTTTCAATGCTTTAATTTGAATGCGTTGTGATTTTGACATAAATATGGGTTGTTATCAAGTTACTATGGAGATGAAGATACGTAAACGAACAACGTTGAATTTACTGAGGAATCGCTTACAGATCTACACAAGAAAATGATTTGCTTTGTTGCATGAAATTATATTGTTTGTGTGTTTTCAATTAATGTTTGTTTGTGCATTCGTTTTCTTTTGAGGATCACCATATCTGTCATCTTTAGATACCACGAGCCTATCTTTTTTTGTTAAAATCCAATGATTTGAATGTTAAAATAACTATTATTCAATAGTACCAAAACATGTTTCATGTGTTCTCCATCTTTTCCAATATAACTAATAACAAAGTGATAAAATATTTGATATCAGTCTCTTATACCCAAACGCCCACACTAGCAAAAATTACATCTTAAATGCCTTACCTTCGATGTCTGCCATATCTGTCTAAGTTTTTATATTCCAAGTAATATTGAACTCCGTATACGTTTGGCTCTTGGTAAGTAAAATCAGATCATGTTCTACTAGTCTCATACACATAAATATAGATTAGAGATTAAAGTAAACAAATGTATAACGATTTCTATTATAACTTCAACATATGGTTCTATTGTCAATAAGCTCTATTGTAACCCTATTTACTCACGGCTTAGATACCATTGAGAAAATACCAACGCTTAGTGACGGCAGATTTGTGCGATAGGTGGCATTGTTTGATTGACTATGAAAGGCTCATCTGTAACGCCACCTATTATGACCACTTTTCATCTGTGTTTTATTGTGAAATAAGAAAGTATTGTTTAATTAAAATGCATAGGGAAGGTATAGATAAAAGATGTAGTTCCTGAGACTAACATATCTCTATGAGGACGGCTGGTTAAAATTTCAATCCCGAGACATATTTTCAAAAATAGCAATGAGATACAAAGAATTCATATCGAATAGGTGGCGCTCTTTATTCGAACTTTGGTTAAAATGAGACACGTTCCATCAATGTAAAATAGGAAAAGTGTCTTCAAATCTATGGTACTTTTGAATCAATTAATGATGTATTTGTAATGTTGTATAATTATTCTGGAGATAGGACTAATTAGATTCTTGATACATTATATTTTATTTTCACTGGTTACATTTATATCTAGCGAAAAGATAATGAAATATGTCCAGTTCACCTATTATAAGAAACATAAGAAGAATATGGTTGTATAGGAATTGATTTGATCTGTATATTTAAATGTAAAATCTACGGTTTCTTTATTAGTAAAGAAATAATACTGTAATTATATGGCAGTATTCATACAATTTTTAAAACAACAGCAAGCAGCCAGTGTCAGACTATCTAATCATGCCTATAGGGCATTACATTTACAGGCATTGAAAAGGCATTCAACAAGGCTCTAACATGCAAAATGTCACCAACTTCCATTTGTTACAGACGCCGACCACCGAACACAATCCTCAAAAAAGTTGGGAGACCATAACAATATGTCACCACTTGTGGTGGTGACATAAACATTATTCACATCCTAACTGTTGACTACCTAATGCAAGCCTTTAGTGTCTGCTGTATCAAATTTTAACTGAAATCTCATAAATGTGATACCTGTACTAGTAAATGCAGTAAACTCCATCGACATGATTTCCAATTTTAAGTATAGTATATGGCAGTTTCACTCACTGGTACATTGGACAATGTTCTGTAAATAAATCAGTCTACAAACAGTTGATAAATTCAGCAAGTTTACACGCGGTCTGTAATAATTGTATCAGTTTTACTTTATAAATTCAGACAAAGCGTCAGCATAACAAATTGGCACCATTTTGTTAAACTATGTAACAATTTATTACAGACTTAGGACGCTGAAACTGACTGCCTAATACATGTACTTGTCACAAAAATGTGGTTATAATAATGTCACAACTTCTTGATCGTGACCTAAAAATTGAACATCAAACACATTATCAATATTATTTTCCAAAATATGCTGAAAAACTCGGCTAGTCTAGTCACACAATTCAAATTTTGAATAATCAGTCAATATATGCCATTCCATGCTATGAATGCTATTTCAAGGACTGCTAAAAAAAATTGTCTAATGTCTAATAAATAGTTTCTTATTAAAACGTGTGATTGTGTAGATTGAATAAATGTTTTTATGCCCAATGTTTAAGAACTCTACGTTCTTTTAGAACATCCAGATTTCACATCAATGAAGTTCAAATTGAATGATCTTCAAAGCCCAATTTCGACTTTACTCTAGAAACATACTTGTATAACAAAGTGTTAAAATACTTGATAGTTTAGATTGAAGTTATTTTTTCATGTCCAATGTTGAAGATCTTTATGTTCTATCAGAACAATCCGGTATTATATCAATGGAATTAAAAAAATTGACTTTCAATGCCCCATTTCCACTTATTTAAAACATTTGAAATATACTAGTATTTGACTGAATGAAGCAAAGTACAGACAATACCTAATAGCAAAGTTTTGTTACACATACAACCTACAAAAACCCTGGTATAAAAGTAATGTGATATTATTGTTGGTGTATTTAGGAATGTATATGTATTCCAATTTTGAAGATTGTAGAGCTCTTCAACAAGGGAAGTACAAAATAATTTTTCAATCTAAATCAAGGAGGATTGGATCCCAGGGTTCCAACAACAAAAATGTTTTTAATCTCCAAATAATTTGTTCAGTGCTGATTTCTACGGCAAAGAACACACAAACGAACTGCAAGGAGAATGGCTGATAGTGTGGCAATATCAACGATGGCAAGGAAAATGTTGTTATTCTCTGACATTATAACTGACTTTAAATTTATAATCAGCAATCCAAAATATTTGAGCTAATATCTTGATCATTTCTTGTGTGTTTTGAAATCTTTTGTTATTCAAGTAGACTCAAAACTCGAGATTCAAAATCTAAAGTGAAAAATTGCAACTGTTTAATTTTGAAATTCTAAATCATGACAAGACTCCATATATGGCAGAAATCGAGTTGGAACCCTGGGAGCCAATCCTCTTTTGATCTTAACTATGACAATAAATCAATCTATTTCAAATTGGACTTTTAGTTGAACATGACTGTCTCTACTTTAAATGCATGTTATACTGTATTGAATATATAATTATGTGCTAGGATTGATCAACATCTGAGTCACTTAGTCCGATATTGTCATTTCGGGTTGATGTGAGAACACTGGGTCCTATATCCATATTTTGTCCAGCTGCCCCACGCAACTCATCCATTTGCTGTTGCTGTGACTTGTCCATTAGATCAAGTCTTTGTTTGATTAAGTCTAAATCTTGTTGGTGCTCCATTTGCTGGAAATACAGAGGTTAAGATGGTACAAATCACCAAGAGATTTACAATATAATCCATGTACAGTACTAGCATTGTACCTTTTAGAATATTAGGGTGGTTGATAAAACACCATAGTTGCCCTAACATTGCTGACTACTGATATTATATGCTTTTTCCTCCTGCTTTTGAGGATTAAACCGAAGTAGATGTGATGAGGAGTTGCCCCAAGCAGAGTTGATCAGGCAGGCTTCACCAGCAACAAATTGTCAAAAGGTTTATTCGAATGGCAAAATTGCAATTCTAAATTATCTTGGAGTATTCTGATCAATTTTAGCAGCTGATATGGCTTATGAGCCTATAACAGAAATCATCATTCATATATCTGGTCAATATTAAACAGCTTCTGTTTTCTATTTGAATCATATTTAATTGATCTGAAACCAAAGCGTCTTCAAAATAATATGACTTCCACTAAATGCATGGGTGTGTGTACCTGGTCAAACTGTATGATGGAAGGATCCATGGTGACGGAAGCGAAGGTCATGTTTCCTATAGGGACCTGGGTCACTTGAGGCACTAATAGACTACGGAACTCCATGTGACGTTTCTGAAGATCCTTCAGCTTACGCTTCATCTGGAGGTATACTTCCTGAGAAACACCCTTCCTGGAGAAAGAAATATATGAATGAATTTAATATCCAACTTGATATGAGACTTAAACATATAGTCTTGTATTAAGAGTGACTCTCATGATTCATTCAATGAAAGCAATGCAACAGTGAATGTGACACTTCTGATGAATACAGAATTTGACTTGGTCCAAAGATTCACAATGATACGTAACTTAACAATGAAGGGAAATATGCCTTTGTTCTTGCCCAAATATAGGTTTGCCTAAATGGACACATTTCACTTCATAGTTACATAATCTCTAAATATGCCCATGTTTGTAAGCCCTATTATTTATTCTTGTAATACATGTACAGGTATTGATATTAAATGTAATCAATAAAGATCAGAATCTTGGAGACTTACTTTAACATATCTCTTTCTAATGAGAGCTGCTCTGTCTTGGCATCCATTAACTGTAAACGGTCCTTTAACTTTCTCACCATCTTTGCATATTGCTTTTTCTTCTACAGAATACAATGGGAAATAATTTCAATAAATTAAAAAATCCCATTGATTACACATGAAGTTTTACATTATTTCTAGCATATGCTTACAACATTTTATTTGGACTTTTCAGTTTTTTGAATATCAATCAACTGTTTCCATTCAATGGAATTGATTAACGATTTTCCCACAGACTCACATAATGAACTGATGTAAATACCTTTTTAAATTCTGTATCACCGTCTTGTATCTTGGCATTCTGACTGGCAACCTGTTGATCCAACTCATCAACTCTCTTATCATAATTGCGTTTCTCATCCTCCCAAGCTGCCCGATGTTGAGCTAATGTCTTTTCATTTTCAAATTTATTATTTCGTAATTGTTCCCGTGAATTTTTCACTTCATTTGTGAGTATTTCAATTTGATTTTTCAGTTTTTGGTTCTGCTCTGACTGTTGTTGGTCTGATGATGCTACATTGTTTAGTTCAGTTTGTAGTTGATGTATGCGGTTCCTGAGTGTATTAGTGTCTGATTGTTCATGCTTCAGCTGCTCTAATACTGACTGGTGGTCGGCCATCTTGCTCCTGGAATACAATTTGAAAACCCCATATAAAATTTAGATACCCTACATTATTACTATTCACATGACGGATTAAATACTTCAGTTCCATCTTATCATGATATATCTCTTATAAGAAATAAACAACTGAAACTTAAAGTAACTGTTTATATTCTAGGTGTTTGTGTTTTCATTCTCTGTAAATGAACAAAAAGCGTCAAGTAATATATCTAATATATACAAGTTTTACTGTTCCTCTAGTAATATTCCATTGCTGTATCATACAAACCTTAGGATGACAGCTTCTTTCTCAGCTGCCTCTTTAGCTGCAGCAGCTTCCTTCATTGTCTCTTCCATTTTCTCTTGCTGACTGTGTCTCTCTGTCTCTTCATCTATACGCCTCCTCTCAAGCTCATGAAGCTTCGTCTCATACTCAAGTCTACAATTTACAAGCTTGGGATTACTCAAGTCTACAACATACGAACTTGGGATTACTCAATCCATCATTATACAAGCTTTGGATTACTTAACTGCTTAAGTATATAATAGAGAAGCATGCGATTTGTTAATACTCTGAAAAATTATCCAATCATCCACTGAAGGATACCACTTTCCTCCTCTCAAGCCAGAGCCACCTTGAGCTGGATGCTGCTCCTGCTGCTTTGACTACTGACTTCAGCTGGGAAAGTGTTAGTTCTGAGATAGAAGGTAACGTAGTGAGGAAGCTGGGAAACCTTTATTACTTAACATCCTCTCTATGGTGTAATGTAATACAGCATTCCATCTCTTAATAATAATATAATTTACTTACTTTTCATTTTCTATCTTGTTAGTCTTCTGCCACTCCTCTTCCCTGGCTGCCTGAACCTTTCGTACACATTCCCTCTCTTTCTCTACCAGGGCATTTGCCTGTTGGTCAACAGAGTGCTGCAAAATCTCTAGCTGGGTGCGCAAACCTGCAACATACAGATTGGCTTTGAGTCAAAACATTGTCTCGGAGTCAGATATTACAGAATTATCTACTAGATATACCATATAAAAGTTAATATTAATGTCCTAAGTATGCTTGCAATGTTAAATATATGTGAAAACAAAGAAATAAAATGTATCAAAATAGAGTCTCTCTGATTACTCTGCATCTATAAGTGTTGAGTAGACTAGCAATAGTGTTAGTATACAAATAAAACATACTACATGTTCCCGAGGCTGCAGGCCAAGGGACAGGAGGGTCAATGGACAGGACATTCCAGAGGGGAAAATTTATACACTATTTCATGAAAATGTGGCAGTCACTATTTGTTTTTATTATATACCTCATATTTACTGTGTAAACCAAAACAAGATGAGAAGTCCTTTCATTTGAACATTTTATGCTTACAGGTTCTTATTGGCATTTAAAGGCATTTTCAACTCCTTTAATCTCAGCTGTCAGGGAAGATAAAACGTACTAATGACTGGTCACAAGACCTAACTGGTGATTAGTACATTTCATCTTCCCTGATAGCAGGGATTTAGGACTTTCTAAGGAATTAGTTCATCTATTTCATATCATGTGACCATGAATAAGCCAATGAGCATCTAGAATACATATGAGGTATATAATAATTTGTTTTACTTATTGAACATAAGTTTTTAATGTTAAGTGGTGACATATTGTTATAGTCTCAAATTTTTTTTAGTGGATGGCATTCGGCATCTCGCATTTGACATCTGTAATGAATGGCAGGTAGTCACATTTTACACGTTGATGCTTTTTCTATATTTTGTGAGCCACTTACCTTCACATTCATTTATGAGTTGATCTCGATGACGTTCAAGATCTCCTCTCTCTTTCACAGCATCCATCTTAACATTTGTTACCTCTACTTTGCTTTTGTGAGTGACCTCCTCAGCACGATTCTTCAGCACAATATTTTCTTTCTCCAATTCATGTACCTTGTTAGTGAGGTGATTGTTGAGCTCTGTACTGGAGGTAAGCTCCTTGTGGAGATTGTCACATTGTAATTTCAATGATTCTTTTTCAGTCTAGAAAATAATGTCACTTGAGTAAATTACAAGAATAAAAATTTCTGAATTAGAATAAAAGGTGAATAATATGTGCTTCAGTTGCTATGCTTCAGTTTTAATTTGTATACTATAGACGTCATGATTTATGCGGAGGTAAATTTTTGCCCCTTTTATAAATTCATTATTTCACGTGTTTATATTTTCGCGCCGATTCCACTTCTGTATAAACAAAATAAATAAACTTACGAAAAATCGCCATATATTCGCAGAGCATCTTTGGAGTTTTCTGTGCACTTAACGAAAATGCAGTGAACAAACCTGATATCCCGGTACTGACGATATGCTTGTTCATAAAATAAGCCAATTACGCACGGCAGTCAATCAAATAAGCATGTTGATTTCATGTACAACATGCTTACACGTACATTTTGAGCACTGTATTGCACTGATTGCAGGGTTAGTTCTAACACCGATGTTAATTTTGAACTTTGACATGTGAGTTCAGTGCGCATGCGTGAAGTGAAATTAAGATGTTTGAGATCGTATTTCACTATAAATAATTGATATAAATGATTATGACTCATGAAGCTATACTTATATGCACGCACCTACAAACTATGATGCAACATAGGGATATGAGGGGTAAGTGCAACAAACTTATAGAAAATCAACAAAATCATAATTTTTTTTCAAGACAACTATCCTGGACCTACATGTGTAACTAATAATTCGCGGGTTCTTTTTCGCAGATGGAGGGCATCCCGCGAATATAGCGAAAATATACACACCGCGAAATTAAAGACGTCTACAGTATATGCAAGAAAAGTTACCTCTAATGATCGAAGATTAGCAGAATGTTCAGTTATTTGTTTGGATTGTAACCTGGCAACATGATCTGACTGCAAACCAAGGTGTTCTCTCTGAGCTCTTATTTCCTCGAGTTCCGCTAGCAAACTTTTCATCTTTAGATTCAATTGTGTGTTCTCTCGTTGCAAAACACGGCACTTTTGGTTGTCTGATGATGTGTCTTGCTGTAGTTTTCCTATCACAGTTTCTCGCTCTTTACGTAAGTTTGTCACCTAGAATACCCATTTCTCAATGATTTAGATATATGAACAAATTGACGATATTGTAACAAAAATACCTAGATCAAGTTTTCTGATAAACTTCTTGAATATTTTAGTTAACCCTTCTAGTTGAAATAATCACAAAAATCAAAGAGAAAATAAAATACAATAGTGACTAGCTGAACCTCAGTGATGTGATTCCTTTCAAACTAGTACGAGATTTTCACATTGGTATCTTCCTTCGAAATCTCATGTGCCTTCAAATTAATGCCCATGTGGTTTTCATTATATCAAAAATTAGGCCTTACATTCGTCTTAATGTCCAGGATATCATCATGAACAAAAGAACTGGTTTTAATGTACAACTGAAGTAACTAATAACCTCACCTCAGCTTCATGTTGCAGTTTCATTTCATCTGTAATACGTTTGAATTCCTGCTGTTCATGCTCATACTCAGACTTCAAGAATGAGTATTCATATCTGAGTTTATTATACTCATTGCGGTATTGCTCTACATCTTGGTCCAGTTTGTTGAACTTCTCTTTAAATGGACCTTCTAAGTCTTCAGCTATTTTAATCTTGAGCTGATCTATTTTCTGAGGAGTGATGGACTGAAAACATTGAAACTATAAAATTTTGGTTTTTGTTCAGTGGACTTTACATAAATTAGCAATTCTTAATGATATTTAGGGTTATTCTTATATCACATATACTGTACATTTAAAAGTTATAATAAGTGATAATCAATGAAAAACTGAAATTTAATTTGCATTTTAGATTTAAGGTAGGCAGAATAGTATAGCCTAGCTAATTAAATGAAACTGCACATATTATTGTATCATCGCAATATACACTCGAACAAGTGACAATTACATGAACAGTAGAACTTGTCTAATCCAAATGCCACTGGGACCGATCAAAGGTTCTCAGATTAACAGGTCTTTCCATTTCCAGGTTTCTTAATGTGTGAATTGATGAGAGATAGGGCCTAACAACCAAAAGAAAATGTTCACATGGAGAGGTGTTTGAATATACAGATTATACTGTGGTTCAATTTGGGTGTACATGTATTCTAAGTCCCAACCTGTTCTCTCACTTCTTCCAGCTCATTATTTTTATCAGCAATTTCTTTCCTAGCTTGCTCAAGTAGTGAAGTATATTTGGCTTGCATTTGTTTCATCTCTTCCATGACTGTGCCCAAGTCACCTTGCAGAGTGTGGTTCTCATCTTGGCACCTGGACACAACAGTAATAAGTATCAATACATTTATAATCAGAGTATTCCCTGTCTATGAGAATATGAGTTTACAATTACATTACTTAAAGGTCTACTATGCACATTTTCAACATTCTTTGTCAAAATAAAGATTTACTTTTTGACTTCATAGTATATCCAATGGATTGATAAGTAATTTATCTTAACTTATCTTTTATTGGACACCAAAAACAGCTCAGATGGGCCACATCAAAGCTTACAATAAATTATAAAAAAAATATTTTCGATCTGTCAAGTTTTTGTATATCAGGTTTTTGCCAATGTCAATGAAAGATGGCGAAGTTGTTTGTATCAAAGGATCCATTCAATTCTATAGAAGTGTCGCTATTCTTAAATCAAGAGTTATTAAAAATTGCACTTTGTCAAACATGTGCAGGCACTACTAATGATCTCTGAACTTCAAATGCTTTTTTCTACGTGCGCTATTTTTTTCTAGGTTCAATATTAATGCAAATCAATCTTTGTATCATATTTGATTGAGTGTGTGAGTAACATGTTTCAATGATTATTTTATGCTTTTTTCTTCTGAAGTAAGCATAGTGGGGCTTTAATTTAAGATTTGATTTTTTTGCTTTTAATTTGATCTTATCAAATAAAGAGGGAGCTGAAGATTTGAATAAAATGATGTTAATAAACACAAAAGGGACAAAATCTTAAAACTAAGTGTACCTGGTAAATTCTGCCTTGAGTTCCAGGTAATTGGCTTTATGTCTTTCCTTCAGTAACTTCTCATCAGTCAGCATCTTTTGCAGTTGCGTCTGTTGTGTTAAACGCTCCAAGATGGAATGATCTATTCCTTGATCTGCCATCCTCCCTCCTGAGTCCCCCAAGAAACTGACCCCACCCTGAGCCATAACTATTATTAGATATTAGCTGAAATCACAATTTTGATACTTTACAAATTTTGAATTCAAGATGACAGTATTATCTATGGGCCAAGTAGTGGTGTAATGACCCTGGTGTAATGAGTCTCGGCTGTAGTGACTAGCCCCTCTGGCCAAAGCACTAGAGCATCAGTCTTGGTCGCGGAAGGTCCTTGGTTTGATTCCCCCACAGGGTATTGAATTTAGCACACACCCTTCCAGGGCTAGTATCTGGCTCGTTATACTACAGCTCCCAGGATGAGCGTGCCCATGGGTTTTTACAGTATAAGCTCAAGAGATCTAGAAGTTACTTCATACTTTTACCTTGGCCTGTGGATGACAGAAGTTCAATTTTGACTGACGATTATTTTCCTTGCGGAATTTTACTAGTTGTCTACAGTCTATGTATAGTCTAATCAATCTGTGCAAATCAAAAAATTATCTGAATTTTTTTCGAAATAATTTTCCACAGGGAATACTATTATAAGCAGTAGATTCATCGGAGGGCTTGCCCGACGCCTCGAGACAAGCCCCTGTGTAATTTTCCATTCTACAATCGATTTATGGGTACCTAAAACATACATTCGTCAATCATTAGGACAAATACAAACCTTGTTATCGCATGCATTACTTTATTTATCTTGCATTCCATAATATATTGTTTGTAGTGTAATAAAAGAGATGGAATCTTTAAAATTGATTTTTAAAAATCTGCGCTTCCGCAAACAAACGGTGACGCATGCGCAGAGAGTTTCCGTCGTGTTACACTAGACGAAAATGTTTGAAACTCCCGGGAAGTTACATTGACTGGTTAGTCAGGTCATAATATTAGTTAAAACGTGTTCTCCTCGTCACCAAATCCCATCCTCACCCATAGCAGCGTCATTTGGGGTTCACTGTGATTTTCAGCTGCTGGGAGATTAGGTTTGTTACATCTCACTTTTTTACTTTAATTCTCCCCATTCAAATTTCTATCTATTTTTGGGCCATTCATAGTATAAGGTCAATTATAATTGTTTAAATGTAATCGAAAAATGTTTCATTCCATCCCAAGGTCAAAACAAAAAGATGAACTGTAAAATATTGTTTCATGGTTTCTTTTTGGCTGTCTCCAATATTTCTATGTCCTGAGTAAAGGGATTGAGTTTGGATTGGATTGGATTGTGCAGAGACATATAAAACAGAACTAGAAAACAGCAACTCCTTGGAGTAGAAAATCCCACTGAGCAAAACAGATTTTATTGAATACATTGTCATTTGGGACATTACATGGTAGAAACAACCAGGAAATATTAGAGTAATATTGTCTCCTTTTGGTATTTGGTAGATATTTAAGTTATTGAAAAATACAAAATGTACTGAAGATGGACTTCCTGTCTCATATACTGATACTGGGGTACCTGAGTAGGAAAACAGACACCTCTTACACTCTAAAGAATAAAAGCAATAAAAATTTATGAATTGATTTAGAACCAGTTCATTTTATTTCATTTCATACATAATTTTAAGCACAATGATCAGCATAAAATACACCTTAAAATAATGATACTCTTATCTACAATCAAATATACACAACTTATATAGCTATCATACATTTATATACACAATATAGAGGCTACTATACACTAAAACATCTAAATGTATATGAGATCTCATGATTATCTGTCTAAAGTTGAAATGAAGCATGGAAAAGGAAAAAGAATACATACATGTACTGTAAAACAGGTATTTTCCAGCTTGAATTTTAAGTGCACTCCATACTGAATATATTTTAGCCAAGAAAAATTCCCTGATTTACAGAATCAAAATATATTTATATCACAATAGAGACTTAAACTGAAAAAATATATGGCACCTATGCCAAAATTATCTTAAATTATACAATAATAGTTGTCCACAATCCAATTTGAGACTGAGACTCCAGGGCTATTATTTTACAATGTTTGATCAACTGTTGATGGTTAGGGAATAGGCTATTGTTAAATCTTGACTTTCCACATTATCATTTTACTTACTATAGAGTTTGTCCTATATGTAAACTTACTTATGACATGCCCATTATATATTCTATTCTGAGTGGTTCATGGACAGCTGGTATTTCACCAATCAGATCACACATATAAATGATGATGTATCTTATAAGTTGTCCTTTTACATAAAGTCAAAAACATGCTATTTTTCTGAATCATCTCATCATTGATTTTTCAATCAAAAGATTGATATTAGAAATTGATATACTTGTTCAGTACAGTAGAACCTGTCTTAGTGATCACTTCCCTCTGGTGAACACCTGTCTCTAGTGGACAGATTTCCTCCACACATTCTCTAACTTCGGTGTGAATTAATCTCTCTAGTGAACACCTACCAACAAGGAATATTTTTTCTCAGCAAAAAATGTTCAATATACACAGGTTTTACTATCCATAAAAGAGAGTAAAATCGATTGCATATAAAAATGTAGACATCTATGGCATATCAATGAAAACACACCCTGGCTCCTGTGTTCATATCATTCACATATGACAGAGGGTATATCATTAAATACAAGGCTTAGAGACTCTATCAGTCTGTTTCAAGTGTAGAACTATGAATTTCAATAATAATTCATGCACTATATAACTCTGAACTTGCTCAAAATTTGTGTCAAGCAATGTCTGAAAATCCAGTTTGAAATCCAGTCCATGATATCACAATTCTGTGCACATCAATTTTGTTTGCGACAATGGCTGAGTAACTTTTTAATTGAGTTCATTATCATTGAATCTAAAGTAAAATCAAAATCTTTATTTAAATTATCAAGAAATAAACAAATATACAACATGGCATATGTCACACATACCAAGAGTATCTATAACAATCACTGTGTTCATACATGTAAAATATAAATGACTATCCTAGCATTTGTGATATGTAAAATTTCATGAAATAAATAATAACTATTTCGCTACAATATACCATCTACCATAAATAATTACAAATCGATTTTCTTTAATTTGCCATTGATTCAACTACTATCTACTGTAGTAGAAACAACAAATCACATTAAAAATATTGACTAAATTAAGAAAATGCAGGACATTACATGTCCTTTTACAAAAATATGGACAAGAAAAAGTTAAATGAAGCTAATTGAGAAGACAGGCCAATTACTTTTCCATATAGCAACACACAGGTCAAATGACCTTCTCATAGAAATATAATCTGTAGTGTTACAAATGAGGGATGGCAGTGATAAATACTGCATAATAATTAATAATAATGAAGTTGAGGAGTTGAATAAAAAGTTTCAACACATAAAATAAGAGATGGTGGCCAATTGTCAAAAGTTATGGAGAACCCCCCTCCCTTCCTTCTTTTAATAAAATCTGAAAATGTTACTTTGCCTTTCAAAAAAAATCAACATTCCTCAGTCTACTAAAATCATTATTTATACCGCTACCCAAAAAATGAACTTCATTTTTCCTAATTGTTGACGATCGGACACCATCCCTAAGTGACAAAACAGAAACATCCATCCTATCATAAATATAAGACTGTGATGTTCTAAACATATATGCAGCTGTACATGATCTTACTTATGTCTTAGTTTTCAGTGTTTTTCACATTTTGCTCAGTGTTCACAATACAAGGTCTCATGTTACAAGTCTGCTGTTCTTACACATATTTATAGTAATGCCTGGGTCACATTTGCTGTGATTCATCGACCGGGGCCCGGCCGATTGAGTATTTTGTTCAAAACTGAATACATTTCTGAACACAATACTCAATCGGCCGGGCGCCTAGGTGAAAAGCGGAGCAAATGTGACCAAGGCATAAGTAGACTTTACATGTAACGAGACTGAAAATTTATGCACTGTTTGATCAAATAATGTATAATTGTAGAATTCAAGCATGCAGTTCATAACACTATTTGAACAAATAAAGCAAATAATGCGTAACTGTAGAATTCAAGCATGCAGTACATAACACTATTTGAACAAATAATGCAAATAATGTGTGACTGTAGAATCCAAGCATGCATGATCTTTAAGCCTTTGTGACACGTGGCTCACTGTAACTTTCTGGCCTCAATGACCATATTATTGTATGGATAAAACAGGAAAATACATGTATATATATGCAACCCTCACACAGCTACCCCACTCTGCAATGGTGATTCTGACAGAACTTGCTGTTCTTGAGTTGTAATTACTTGTGGCTGTAGTCCCATTTGTAAGTTATAATCCGAAGTTTCCATTCGTAGAATATATGGAATTATACTGTCTATTTGTACATTGCCGATAAGCCCAACAAAAAAGAGCTCTTCCATTATGGAGGGGCTGAGAGAGCGCAAGGCTGGTAATCGGAGAAGAAGCTTAGCAAATCTATCAGGGCATTCTGGGTAATGTTCCTGCTCATGTTCAAAGAGCTCTCTATGAGCCTTTTCTTGAAATTTTTCCAGCTGATTTTTCGGTGTACAAGGGTGATCTGGAAAGTACATGGTTTTAGGTTAATGTTTTCTGTCATGTAATAAACAAAAGAAATATACTACATAAATACAATAATGTACTAAAAAAAAAATTCTCTCCAAAAATGTTGATTTTCCAACTTTCTCAGTAAATATATGCACAAGAAATAGAAAGGGTTGGGTCACAAGGACTTACTATAATCCAATTCCATACACAAATACTCAGAAACATTTCAATATACATGTATAATACAATCAATATACCTGGGCTGAACAGTGCCATAGTTTTTAGATAAGCATATTCTACTTCATCCACTTTTAGTGACTGCAGGCTCTGGACATACTCCTGGAGCTTAATGATGTGATCTGACACCAGGCGTACGCGGTCAGCATTCAGTTTCTCTATAATCACATAACAACACAAAATATATTATTGATCTTTTACTTCATGTTATGTATAGCAAACCACCAGGGTAACTTTATATTTTTTGAAGGGACTGGTGTGAAATTATATTTTATTCATAGGAGATAAATAAATGTTTTACAATAACATTTTTTATATTCACATCCACTTGTGAATATTCCTATTTCCATTGACCAGCCTTGCTTGCATGAGGAGATATCAATATCTAGCTGTTTGTGAATGGAAAATTGATATCCCTCAAATATCATAGGATCCCCATGTATTTGCTCATTTAGAAAACCTAACTATACAACCAAGAAAGATTCAGCTCATAAGGCTCCAAGTCCGTAGCCAGGGCCCAGAACCAGGGGCAAAAGCTGGCTATAGGCCTGCAGAGTCAAGAGTTGTCAAGATTAAATCCTAAGGGGGGGACTTTATATTGACGAGAGATTCACCTCAGTATGGAAGCAGTGGGGACTAGGCCATGTATGCCAAATATGCCACTATACAGTTTTTTTGAATTATTCATATTAAGATCACTATGGTATTTCAACAACATTTACTATTAATCATAAAAATATGCTTTCATTGCCTTTGGTGCAATATATAATAATAATAATGATATACTGTACTTTATATGAACTTTTTTGAAGGGTAATTTATCATTTTTGGGCATGCACTTCAATACCATACTTTAGTATATGTGTCTAAAATCTATTCATCATGTTGATACTTCTAGTGGGACATCAGATGAACTGAATGGTGGTGAACTATACCGTGAAATTGACTGCACCAGCCCATATCACCCTCAGGTCAACATCATACAAAGTCTATGTCTGTATACTGTCACACTCTAGTGAATAGACTGTATATTAAACATGTATAAGAACATTGGGGTTTAAAGTTGTACTCAAACCATTTTACTCAATTTAGATATATTTATGCTATCTTACCGTATGAAGGTCACACTTTACGATGGTGAACCATCAACAATTCCAAAAGTTAATTTTATCATGATATCAGGTATAATAAAGTCAGCACGTGTCTGTTTTCGCGGCAAAACTGATTTCATTTTCAGAGCAGAAATTTTACGCCATGTGACATGACGTGTGTGACTGAAACAACTTGCCGCAAAATCTGATTTTGTAGATAAAAATGAAACGCTGGCTTTCAAAAACGAGTTATTTGCTCTTATGTTGAGTAAATTATTGCATGATTAGAGCTTTTCTCATCAATTTTGCAAAGGGTATGATATCACTTGCAATTGAGTGCGGAATCAATCGAGATGAAATGCTATTGAAAGCATGTAAGTTATATAACAGCAAACATTGCCAGTGTTTGGGGATTAAAACTTTTTAACCCGAATGTAATGCTGTAAGGCCAAAATATGATTATTGGTTTTAGTACAACTTTAAGAGAATATAACACAGCTGCACTAATGATTCATCTACTGTATTTTTATCACAACTGTATCATAACTTTTGAACCCTATTTTTCAGTGGAAACATTTCATTTGTTTCATCACATAACTGTGACAAAATCCCAACAGTTTCCGATTAGTTAATCAATTGGCATCAATTTTTGGATATTTTCCTTGTATGCTAAGCGCTTAGTAAAATGCAGTGATTTTGGCATGTACATTACAACCTAGAGAAGGGACTTTTGAAATGCACATTCCCTTTAAACAACTTAAGTTGAATTATCGGTTGTACAAATAAAATGTTCAGTTCAATGAATTCAATTGGCTTTGTGCCTCCGCACAATGCATGCATTATAAACCCTATATATATAACTGTAACTGTTTGAAGCACACTCACTAAGTACTGTACTGCACACCAGCTGTATCAAGAAACTAAGAAAAATCTAAATCTTGAGATAAAAATGCAGAAAAAATTCAAATTGACGTATTTCTCAGTCAGAGCTAGGGGTGAACTGATACGACTGCTGTTTCATTATGCTGGAAAAGAATTTGAAGATGTTAGAGTAGAATTTGCAGAATGGCCAGCACTGCAGCCAAGTAAGTATACTAAAGTATCACGATTTTATTAGATAAGTGAACATACATTGTATTACCTGCAACAATGTATTTTTGAATGAGATGTAACTACAAGGGATTATCACTTTCAATCATATCACAGTTCATGAATTGGAGGGGGAGGGTAATCTAAATAATGTTTTCAATATAACATACATGTAGACTAAAGTAAAAACTGCATCAAAGTCATTAGGTTATTCTTTCCAAAAAAGGTTTTTGAAAAAATGCTATACCTGCCAATGATATTTTCTGGTTGAAATTGATATGAAGAATGTGTGTATTTCCTTGCTTTTTTCAGGAAGGTATCATTACATTGTATTCTCTTAGAAAACCTAGTAAGTGGTCAATGGAAATCCAGTGTTATTGAGAAACTTGGAGAAGAAATTTGGAAAATTGAAAAGGCGGCCATTTTGAATGATTTTTCCAAATTTTTCCTGGAACTGCCACTGATCTGTTACCAGGTTTACTAGAAGGAGACATTACAAGGATACTTTCTTGAAAAATCAAGGAAATACACATATTCCTTCATACTTTATTTTGTACCAGAAAATAACATGGGCAGGTATAGCATTTTTTTTCAGAAATGTTGTTTGGAAAGAATAACCTCATTCACATCTTATTCTGATATAAAAAAAATTTACTTTAAATATTTTTATGAGAAGGCTAGGGGTGAGTTAATATGTGTATGTGTGCTGACAAACAGTATGAGTAACACAAATATTGTCTTAATGAAGTGTGCATTGTTCCGAAGGAGAGAAATGTTGCAGCTGCCATTTTATCAATATTTTCAGTTCCTTAGAACTGTAGAAAGAGCCCTGTTTTCAAAAAGGGTCTTATTGTATTCTTTCAGATACCCCTTACTTGTCCCTCCCTATATTGGAACATGGAGGTGTTGTGGTAGGACAGAGTACCAGCATTGCTAGATATGTGGCCAAGGAACTAGGTAAAGCACTCACTTTGTACCTCAAAAGAGAAATCTGATTCTCCTGCATATATCATTAACTTAAAGCTTTCATTTCATGAATGTGTTCCTGCATTAGTTCAACTCTTTCTTACTGTTTTATCAAATCTCAACCATGACATTTTGATGTGAACTACAATTAATTCTCTATGTACAGGTCTTGCCGGTAGAACAACACTAGAACAAGCCCTCACAGATGGTATTATTGATTCTATAACAGACATATTCAATGAGTTGGTAAAATTTGCCTTTGAAAAAGATGAAACCAAAAAGGTTAGTATTTACAATATGTTTGCATTACATTTTATGCAGCTTTGCTTTCCTTTATAACAAGAAAACAGCAACTCCACATAGTAGCTAATCCCACTGAACATAACATGTTTTGATAAATAGTGGCCATTTTGATAATATCTTCTTGAACAGCATATGAAATTTGAAACAAATCCATCCATGGTATTTGAGTTATTAAAGACTACATTTTTTTACGAAAAATGGTGGCCATTTTAAAATTCAGAGGCCATTTTGGAAATGTCTTCTTAAGCAGAACTCTTACTTCCTTAGGCATCAGCATAAGAAATTTGAACCAGATCTGCCAACTGGTATTTGAGATATCATATATATCATACCTAAAATGTACATGTTTCAGGAAGAACTTAAGACTAAGTACATAGAGGAAACTCTCCCTAAGTGGTGTGGACTTATTGAGAAGCAATTGGAAACAAAAGTCAATGGTAATGGTACCTGGCTGGTTGGAGATCAAGTAAGAAAGTTTTAATAAATAAAGTTCAATAAATAATATAATTTTCAATGAAATTTTAATTTATAAGGAAGATGTTTTCACACTTTATAAACCTGCGCTATGCAAGTTTTTTCTCTTAAAGAATAGTTTTTTTTCAAAACGTGCAAGTGAATGTGTAGAATTATGGTCAACTATGGATTAGTTCTCCCATTTGTAATGTTTACTTGGCCAATTGAGTATAAAGGTACAGGAAAAATAATTGGAATTGGGTCCCTGGGAAAGTGAAATGAGAGCAGGACAGTAATCCCAGGGGTTGAAATAATATATGCTCACGTACACATTCTCTTAATAAAAACATGTAAATTAACCTCTCTAATATGGTAGATGGTTTTAAACATTTTCATAACTCCATCAACAGACAAAATAAACAATGAATGTGTATGTTTTATTCCAGATAAGCTGGGCAGACATTGGTGTGTTCAACTTTCTCAACTACATGGAGCTCATGAAACTTGACATTGGCTTCAGCCGATACCCTTACTTAAATGCCCTAAAAGAAAGAGTACAAGGCACAGAAAGAATCAGCAATTACATCAGTGAGAGACCAGAAGCTACCATGTAACAGTCAACAATAGAGACTACAATATGAGAACAATCAAGATTAGAGACAACAATACTTAGTTTCTCTTGCCTATTGGTAGTTTGGACATTGCAAAAGTATATGAACAAATATGTGAAATCTGTATTAATCAATATCAGTTATTTTTTTCCATACAATGCATTATTTAACATTAAGATAAGTACAGGGATTTTAATTTTTACCTCGTGTTTTGATACACAATAATATATTTTCAAAATGTGATTAAAAAGATTAGAAACTAAACAATAAATAATTTTAACAAGGTACTAACATGCAAAATTTTGGTGGTGACATAAAAATAATGAGAATATTTTTTTTTAGGATTTTGTCTTGCTGTATAAGTAGTTTAAATATTGTACATTTAGATGAATAAATATATGAAACTAATAATAATACAATGTACATGTGTATTTTTCATTTTTTATTTCCCGCTTCTTTATTCCCATCTACTAATGTTTTGATAAAGAATATAATATATTTGCATATGAAATGTAGTATTCAGCATGAACCATAACACAAGAATATTTCACAAGAAAATACAATGACCTTTTCACAGCCATGTTCGTCAATGCAAAATAGAGTGGAATCAGTTGGACAAAGTAGGAAGGCATTGGCCAAAAGTTATTGAAAATCATAACATTTTGTGAGAATTGTGAGATATTTCAATGAAAATAGGGTATGTGCTTGTTTGGTATAGGAAAAAGCGGGATGTTATTTTTCTGATTTGCAAAGTTTCAAAATCCTGCCTTTGTTAAATATTTTCTTTAAAACTTTGGTTTTCATTGTCTTCAGAAAGTGTTTGTGAAGAAACACAGCAACTTTAAGTGTGTAATACAATAGATTAGTTGCTATATGATAGATAGATGGCAAAAGTGTTATGGTCGCGCTGGATAGCATATGGTAGGGTAAAGGGGAGGGAAAACCCCAGACTTTACCATCTTTGTTTGTCCTAATTCTCAATGGCTAGTTTCCGAATACAACACATCGTTGTGATGTTTTAATTCGATGTTAGCATATTCTCTATATCTTTCTTAATCTTGGTGTGAACTAACAAGCTATGACATTGATTAACACGCCAGATATTAATATAATATTATTCCAAGTGTTAGAAAATTTTGAAACAACCATTGAATGATGTCATTTGTCTGTTGATTTGACCAATCAGCTATAATGTCTTCTAATAACTACAGATTTACAACTCTGGGTCCAGAAGTTTTTGCAAATCTCCATAAGCTTGGAATTTCAAAGCTATTCAACACAGGGTCTATTGTGTGCATTGTTTTCCTTTCATTGTTATAATTTACCTTACACTGGGGTGGGCTGTAGATAGTTAGGTAGTGTAAAAATCTTCTGGTATTATTCAAAATCTATCTGTTCAAAACTGTTGGGTTAGTGGATTCGGTATTATTCAAAATCTATCTGTTCAAAACTGTTGGGTTAGTGGATAAGGAAACACTGATTGTAAGTTGAACAAATATGTTGAACAAATATTAACATCATACAATAATAAGCCTTTACCAGTTGACCTCTAACTGTACATACATACCTCATAACTTAAGATACCGAGATTAAGTTGTGCAAGAAATTGAAAAATGTCTTCAAAGTCGAAATTCACATTGACATATTTCACAGTAAGGGGTAGAGGTGAGCTGATACGGCTGCTGTTTCATTATGCTGGCAAAGAATTTGAGGATGTCCGGATAGAATGGAAAGATTGGGCAGCTTTGAAGCCAGGTATTAACCCTTTAATGCTTAGCAGTTGAGAACATTTCACTTTAAAGTTTCAAACCCAATGTTGGCAATTTTTCACTTAATCTGTTATGGGTGACTTTTCTCAATAGCAGACTGTAGGGAAAGTTCATATTGATAAGTAAGTGGGGTGATGTGTAATAATTTCATGAATTCTGTTTACCTAAACTTGAGGTTTATTTTTTTCATACAACTTTTACACTTGGTTGTAAGTGCCTCACTTTAGAAAGAGTTGCTGCAACTAAAGTGACATAATTATTCGATTTTATTTATGAAATGCTATAAAAGTATGGACCGTACATGATTATACTGTACACTGAAAAAAGCTCAGACATTGATTTTAGTTAGAAAACATGAGATACGAATGCCATCTATATGATTCCCTTATTGTTATAATGTTTTCTCAACCAGTTATGCCCGGTCTGCAAAGCACTAGTTTATAGAAATTGGAACTAAATCAAGCATCCAATATTTTAGGTATCATCCTGAGGGAGACACTGATAAAGAATTGACAAAAAATATTATATGGATGGGTTCTCTATATCCATATAAAAACATTATTCGGAAAAACATTCTTAGGTATGTTCAACATGTTGAAGTTCTGAACTTCATTACAAGCAAGAGCACTAGTTAATTTATTGTAAAATTATTTCATTGGACTATTTCAGATACCCCTTACTTGTCCCTCCCTATATTGGAACATGGAGGTGTTACGATAGGACAGAGTGTCAGCATTGCTAGATATGTGGCCAAGGAACTAGGTACGAAACAATGTGCTATCATTGTTCATTTCAGTCATCTTTTGAGTTCTAAATAGGGTACTACATTTTATAATTTAGAAGGATTTGTCTAGCTGTTTATCCTTTCAATAACTTCAAGTGTTTCTGTATCTACTTATAACATGTTTATCTTTATCATGTTTATGTAATATATAACATAAGAATTCTTTACAGGTCTTGCTGGTAAGACAACACTGGAACAAGCTCTTACAGATGGGATTAATGACTCAATAACAGACACATTCAACGAATTAACTAAACATCACTTTGAACAAGATGAAACAAAAAAGGTGTTTATCATATACAGGGTGTCAAATATATATGTTCTCACCCCTTCATTTCAAAAGTATGAACATTTGTGCATAAAAGTACATCTAGTCGAGCAAGTCATCTGAAACTTCTTGTGGAGTTGCTCCATGAAGCCTATAGTTTTGATGTGCCAAAGAACAATTCAGATATCATGCAGACAAAAAATGTATGCAACATTATGTGGATGCTAAAAGCTAGAGGGGAGAACATATTTATTTGACACCCTGTACATGTATTTATGTTATAGGCTATACAACTTGAATTTATTAAGTTTCAATTCATGCAACATACATGGAATCAATAACAAATTGTAGCTAAGAGGATATAACACTGGAAATCAACATGTTTCATGATATGAGGACAAACTAGAGGCTTAATATAATTGAATGTTTTAACACTCTACATATCCATGTTCCTGAAGGCAAAGAATGTGGAGGAACCTCTTCCAAAATAATATGGAGACTGTTTTAATATCTAAAATGTACATGTTTCAGGAAGAACTGAAGTCTAAGTACATGACGGAGACTCTCCCTAAGTGGTGTGAACTTATTGAGAAGCAGTTAGAAACAAAAGTCAATGGTGATGGTACCTGGCTGGTAGGAGATCAAGTAAGAATGTCTTTCATTTGTGCCTTATGCATATACTTAGTGCAAACGTAAGGTGCCATTTCAATTGATCATTAATTGTGGTTCTTGTGATGGGTTTGATTCAAATTGAAGGGCAAAACAGAGGATAATAAATAATGTGATGTTTTTTTAATAGAATGATTTAACCTATAAATGTGTATGTTTCATTCCAGATAAGCTGGGCAGACATTGGTGTGTTCAACTTTCTCAACTGTATGGAGCTCATGAAACTAGACAATGGCTTCAGCCGATACCCTAATTTAAATGCCCTTAAAGAAAGAGTACAGGCTTTAGAAGGAATCAGCAAATATATCAGCGAGCGACCAGAATCTACCATATAATGACAACAAGAAAACATTTCCAGAAAAGATTCCACATACATGTAGTAACATAATCATAGTAGGATAATCTAAGTGAAATCATGGAGTTTTGCATTGTTTTTTGAATATTCTATAAAAAGAAATATGAATCACTCCTCTTTTATGAGGTGTGTATTCGAAGCTTTATAAGAGAAGAAATATTTATGTATTTATGTCCCATACAGCAATATTGTACATGTGACAAGATGATTGTGAAGCAATGAATCTACAGAAATATAATGGATAACAACTTTACCATTAATATTCTTTTCATTTAAATAATATTTTCAAAATACCCAATTTTTGAAGTTAACAGCCACTTTTGGGATTTTGAACCTCTAAAGCAATAGAACATGAAATTATCATCTTTATCATTTTGTTCCCCTTTGAACAAGTTAAAAACACCTATGACATAAGAGAATGAATCTGCAGTCGGTGTATACATAATCAAAGATTAACACATGCAACATGTCACCACCTGCCATTTGTTGATGATGCATAACTCCGAACGCCATCAGAAAAAAGTTAGAGACCAAACAAAAGGTCACCTTTTTTGGTGACGTAATAAACAATAAATATATATAAAAAAATTATTATAATGCATGGATCTTTAAAAAATTTCTTCAAATACAGGACACACTCCATGTAAAAATAAACATACATTACATCTACAGTTATGCAATCATTTTATGTGATCTTATATATAACTCTTGTTCAAGTAAGCATGCTAAGGATGCAATGTCACGTGGTGAACTGCCCCAGTTGTTTCCAAAAGACATACATTTAGAGAATCAACCTGGTATGTCCAGATTTTCAGAGCCTCGAGTTATTAGTTTCAGAAACTGATGAAGGATAATATTATTCTGATAGCTGGGGAGCAATGTCTAAATACCTAAGTACTTACACTTGAGATGACCACTAACAAAAGATAAGACATTCTTGGCATCAACATTGACATACTATAGATCACCTACTTTTAAACATGTATCAGTAATGTGTACAATAGTCTTTACTTCTTAAAGGGACCAGGTCAAAAATATCAAAGTTTTATGTATCATTTTCCTTGAGGACATAAATCCGACTAATGTTAAAACTGAGACTTAAATAGGTGATGAAGTTATACAAACGTTATTTCAAACTCCAAATGGTTGTCTCAATTTTCATTATAATTTCTTAAATTTTCTCCTGGCCCCTTAGTCAAGCGTCGTCACATTACGATATCTTTGAAGACAAGCAAATATGGTCAAAGTCTATCTACCTCACTCATTCACACATTACTCTTGACACACAACTGCGTTACAGAGACTGAACTTTCAGATTACAGCTCAAGATGTCCAACAAAAACTTTAAGCTGACATATTTCAATGTGAGGGGTAGGGGCGAGCTAATTCGTTTATTGTTTGCTTATGCTGAGAAACAATATGAGGATAATCGTGTAAATTTCGAGAACTGGCCAGCATTGAAACCAGGTAAGTTGAACGAGACTGAAATCATTTCAATTCTTCATCCAAAATAAGAATCAGGGTTGTGGTATCACATAGGTACTAACTCAGATGCTAGTTTGTTCTAATTTAGATCAAATAATTCTTTTAGCAAATGTGGGATTCACAGGATTCCAGGGGGACAACTTTGGCCAAATAATGACCAACAAAACTTGAAAGATACTCTGAGTGGTGAAAAACTAATTTGTTCTATTTATAAGTGGCCAAAGACTGAAGGAATCTTAAAGAGAATAATTTATTCTGACTAATCATACGTAAATGCAGAGATGCATTTCCGAAAGTGAATAAGTTAGTTGGATGGCATCATGATAAACCATGACATCTCATTTCTTCTCAGCCCTGACATGCCTGAGATGTTTCAGGTAAAACAGAAAGATGCTATGAGTATCAGAATGGTTGGATGGAGAGAAGTACATGGTGACCCACAAGGGTTACCCTCTAATTTTGTCATAACTCAAATAAGATGGACTCTTTATTTAGACTAATCATGTTTTCTGTCCAGGTATGTTCTCAGTCCCAAATAAAATCATCAAAAAATGATAAAATTTTCAATTTTTTTGAAATGGGGATATCAGTCTTAGACATCATTTGGGTTGGTTATTTTGATTTTTTCAATCTGTATTCTAGGATATAAGCACTGAAGCCCCTTTACTTATTGCTTCAATTAGTAGCATAAACTAATAAAGTTTGTGAAGACATAAATCAATTTAAAGTGCAAGTCATTGTTCAAAATCAATACACTCCCTTCTTGAATATTCTATTTACTATAGTAAGTCTCTAATCATGTGTTCAAGATAGTAAATACAAGATGTAGATAAGTCAATGCAGATAACTTTGGTCGAAATTAATCATCTGAAAAGTGACTTTCTTTATCTCCAATTCTTGTAGACATTATTGAAGTAAGCAATTCGTCAATGAATAACTATTAAGAAGAGATTACCTAACAATAAACATTTTTAAATGATTTATGTGATGCCTGAATGTTAAAGATCATTATATTATATTCATTTATTTCATTTATTTAGTTTTTTTTTCAATCATTTTGGCCCAACCTATGATAGTCTTGACAACACCCTCCTTTTAATTATACACCACCCCTAACACAATGTCATTATTGTAACTATAAGTAATAACAGATCATGCTTTCAAATATTGTAACTTTAATTTAATTAAATAATTCAAGTTTTTTTACTCATTTATTTTTTAAATACAGAACCCAATTTCATATACATTATCAATACAGTATCTCCACGGGATTTTTTCTCAAGTGGGTGCAAAATTCTCATTTTCACAATTCAGACCAAAATTGGTCAAAATATGCCCATTTCAAAATCTCAGATGGGTGCTACACCCACTTGCTTTAATGCTGGGGAGATCACTGCAATATTCTAAAATCTTTTTCAGAGACCCCTTACCTATCCCTCCCTATACTGGAACATGGAGGTGTTACAATAGGACAGAGTGTCAGCATTGCCAGATATGTGGCCAAGGAACTAGGTACGAAACAATGTGCTATCATTCATTTTAGTCATCATTTAAGTTGAACATAGGGTACTATATAATTTAGAAGGACTTGTCTTGCCTAGTTGTTAACCTTCTTAGTAACTTTATGCTATTGTATGATTTAATTAACGAAATGCATGACCACAAGGGTTAATCTGTATCTACTTATAACACAGTGTATATCTATATCATGTTTATGTATAGTATAACATAGAAATTCTTTATGTACAGGTCTTGCCGGTAGGACAACACTAGAACAAGCCCTCACAGATGGTATTATTGATTCTATAACAGACATATTCAATGAATTGGTAAAACACGCCTTTGAGAAAGAGGAAACCAAAAAAGTTAGTGATTTATTCTATGTGTATTTATATATGGGATGCATCATAGTATTTTTCAAAATCCAAGATGATGTACACTAACATTAATTAAGAAACAAAAATTTTTGAAAAGGCATTATCCAATAAAATAAGAAAGGGTTAAAATCAGACTTTGATTTCTATGACCTCACCAAATGGAATCTTGCAAAGAATGTTTGAGGTGTTCTTGCTATTAGTCCAGGCTTCACTTGATATGTAGTCACTTTATTTATCATTCAAGTTTTTACCTTTTACCATCCTCATTTTCCTTATTTCTGAGATTGAGACTTTGAAAGCATATCTTCTTTGGAATCTCTCTCTGCTCTGCATTGCTTACAGTTTTGGTGTTAAATTACCATGTTTCAGGAAGAACTGAAGTCTAAGTACATGACGGAAACTCTCCCTAAGTGGTGTGAACTTATTGAGAAGCAATTGGAAACAAAAGTCAATGGTGATGGTACCTATCTGGTGGGAGATCAAGTAAGACATTTCTTCAATTTATGACTATTGTCCCTACTTTAGGGTGACATATATATTAGGTAACACTTTACATTTTCTTTAAGAAAGAAGAATTCAAATTTCAAGGCTATATGTATTTGCATTACTTTTGCCAGTATAATAATTGTTGAATTAAATGCTTTAGATAAATTGCCAATTGAATTCTAAAATCTTAGGCTGAAGATCATTCTGACTTTTGGGTTTAATTGTGTATTTCTTTGACTAAAATCACTTATATAGGTTTACCTTTAAGAGAGTCAAATGTATTTTCGCCAATATTCAGTGCAACAGAGAAATGAGCTCATAATACTGTGAGGTGCAATGTACAGGGTGTCCCGAAAGTATGGGCCCCCCTAGGCAGACATATTCCAGTGTCCTCATAGTATGTGTCATATATCATTTTAAAGCTTATCCAAAGTTACATTGATTTGCCAAGTATCATGGTTTAATTCCCAAATGGAAAAAGTTACAGTCATTTTAAAAGGGACACCCTGTACATATACCGGTATGTACTTGTATCTAAAATCTCCAGCTGTAAATGTGACTGTTTCATTCCAGATAAGCTGGGCAGACATTGGTGTGTTCAACTTTCTCAACTGTATGGAACTCATGAAACTAGACAATGGCCTCAGTCAGTACCCTAACTTAAATGCCCTTAAAGAAAGAGTAGAAGCTTCAGGTGGAATCAGCAAATACATCAGTGAGCGACCAGAAACTGAAATATAATGACAAGAGAAGGACTCTCCCTGTAAAAAAACATTTCACATAATAACACTCATAATCACAGGAGGATATTCCCAGTGAAAGCATTATGTTCTGTAGAGGCAATTGCAGTTTGAACAATTTATATGAATAAATGTACCAAATGCATCTGAGTACAGATTATTTCCTACTATCTTACTACCTTTAACAAATAACTTGAGTTCAGGCTTCATAATGACCTCATCACATTCCCAAAATAATATTGTGTAAGACTTCAATAAAACATGTCTTAGTGAACACTTGTCCCTTGAGAACATATTTTTGGACCATACTCCATTGACTCCAATGTATTTGAAACCTCAAAGTATAAGTCAACACTTTGACTCCAAAGGAGTTCACCAATCACCATACATAAATTTACTATACAACATTTGCAATATGACACAATGCAAATGTTTGCATTTTGCATCTTTGCATTTTGAAAATGTGACACTATATAACAAACAGAGACATCTGGGAGAAATATTAATTTCTATATGATCACCTTCATAGACTTCAAAAACAGTATTGATATCAACATGAAAACCACATTATTCTGAGATGCTTACCAAATGAATATAAACCACAAAACACATTTATAAACTCCAAATGAAGGTAAAGGTTGGTATTTACAGAAAATCATAGACCAAAAATATGGAAGATATAATTCTTACACTCCCCCAGCCCTCTATTCTACTAAAATGCCCAATAAAACAGGAGAGTTTATAGCTACCTTGTTGTACACTAGTCTGTAGATGATTCACTATGGCCGCCAGAATAGTAGGCAGACACATGGACTGAGCACACTGTGCAAGGCCTAAGGTGAACAGCTCACTCCATCGTGTTCGCACCAAGTTGGTCTGCACATCATGACTGAAAGAAAATCAAACTATACTGATTAAAGTATGAAAAATTACTTCTTTTTTACATAAATAATTCCCATTTAATATTACGCATTAAATCAATCTGATCCTAAGAAATGTTTGAGATGACAGTTATTGTTTATTTATTATACAGAAATCTGTCTAATAAATGAATTTCTGTTTCTAAAAGTAGTTAATTCCTATGACTTCACTTGAGTAAAACAAATCGCTGATAAATGTACGAGGCCTCTATTTTTCAAAACAATACAGAAACAATTACAGAAAGGCATATGTCTTTTTCTTCATAAAGCTGTGAAAGCAACCCCAGGGTCTTACTTGAGTATCTGAAAGGCTTGTATGGCCCTCGCCCAGTGCATGGAGAGGAAGAGAAGCCTGGAGGCTGTTTCACATATATAGTGAACAGTCAGGTATGCTGGCATGGGGGACGGCGTTGTCAGAGTAAAGTTAAAGTTCTGATCAGTAAGCATGTTGCCTGGAAAGAAAACACAAACGAGTAAAAAAGTGGAATTTAGTTTGCTTATTACTTAATCCAGGGATGTTATCCAAGAATATTTTGCATGAATGAACTCGTTTTGAAGCAAGTATAGTCTAGTTAGTCATGCTAGATTAATTACTGTAGGTTTATGGTTATTAACAGAAAAACTCAATGAACAATAAATATCAAGACTTACAGTGTATCTTAGAATCAGCTCAATATTCTGCAAGCCATTTATCAAAACAAAAGTCAAAATTTCTCTAGCATTATGAAATATCTGATACAAGTCATTTCATTTACCTTCAAAATCAATTAAAAGATCTGAATCACGAAATATCTGATACAAGTAATCTCATTTACCTTCAAAATCAATTAAAAGATCTGAGTCTGTGTCTATACTCATAGTGGAATCATCCAATGCTTCCTGCTCTTGCTGCAACACAGTTTTGTAACACATATCAATATAAAAAACTTTTACATAAGGCATTAACATTACAAATTGTCACCAGAGTGTAAGTTATTGCAAATTGTTACAGACACCGAAAACAAATTGTTACAGACACCGAAAACAAATTGTTACATGCATTGAACTCTGAAGTTTTGAATGCCAAACACCATCCACAAAGTTGGAGACTATAACAATACATGTATTTCACCACCTCTGGTGGTTACATAAATATCAAGAACAAGTGACTGGAGTATGTAACGACATTATATTATGGTCTATAACTGGCTATTACTGGCAGAAAAGCATTCATAACAATAAACAGTGACTTCCCCAGCATAGAAGTAATCAAGAATAGCACCATGTTGAAATTCTGAAAATCTACATATGCCCTATCAAAAGGATAAAATATTAAGGTATACTGACCAAAATGAGTTAAATTAGGATAAAGCATCTTGCTATGTAAACACCTGGGGAGATCACTGATGAATAATAGAGCATTATAATTAATATACATGTAATTTATAATGATTACTCTATTGTAATATTCGGACTCACCTGATTAGCAGACACAGCTTTAGCTAGGTCATCCACAGCTTTGGCAGCAGAGTCAGCCTCACTGTTGCCATTAGTAGTGTGGCTTGTAGAGTCAGTGTCCAGCTGTTGTTGTTGTTGCTGCTGCTGTTCTGGGTTTTTCCCCATAGTAGCAAGAGTTGTTACAACGTTTGCCAATGTACTCAGATCTGGAGAAATCAGAACATGGAGTTTTGAGAGTTTTGGACATAAAGGATAGAGTAGGAAAAAAGCTAAAATACACAATTAAGTAGTTACAATGTTTTCAAATGAAAATGGAAAAAGTAACAAATGGCAACTCACTGGAGAAGCAAATTAAATATATTTGCACTACACATTATGAGTTATTTCCAAAATATTCTCAATTTTAATATTTCAAGAAATGATAGAACTCAATTTTTGGGTGGTCATTTTGTATTTTGTATTGATACAATTAGACAATATAATATTTTCGGTCTACTCTTAAGGTAGTTCCATATCATGAAAAATCAAAATGGCTTCGCATTGTGACATAAGTGCCTTAAAAAGACTTATTTTTTTTAGCTGTAATTCAATTCACATTCATATATTGGGAGTACATTTACAAGTTTTACTTTACATTAATAAATTAATACATAAATGCTCAAGTCGCAACTTGCCAATGTTTCACTAGAGTTACAAATATTACATTTCCTGTAAAGATCATATTGGAAGTGAACAGATTGTCTTTGAAAATTGAAATAACGTGCAAGAATTATTTTCAATTTAGAACTAATAACTAGATGAGAAACCCATTTCAAGCTTTGATTTTTTCGAAAGGGAAGGTTTATTACAAAAAGTCTATTGTTGTTTATTGTGTAAGTTGCAGATGATTATGTCAATGCCCTCATTAGCACTATACAATTCATCTTCAGGACATGACCTCTTAAGGACAAATTCAGCCTCATTCAGCCTAGTGAATGATCTTAAAGTCAATGTAGTGCTAACCCCAGTCTTGGGGCCAGCCTAGTGAATGATCTTACAGTCAATGTAGTGCTAACCCCAGTCTTGGGGCCAGCCTAGTGAATGATCTTACAGTCAATGTAGTGCTAACCCCAGTGATATTTGTGTATTGAGGGATGAGTCATACTGAGGAATGGGTGCTTTAGCGATTATAGATTTTATAAAAAAAAAGTTACTCACATTGGGAAAAATGAGAATTCTACATCAGCTTGAGATAAAATCTTGGTAAGAACAATGTACCTGCATTTGATATAGGTGTGCCCTGTTGTTGCTGCTGTTGTTGTTGTGGCGGCTGTTGCTGCTGTTGGATCATGTGCTGTTGATGTTGCTGAGATGTTAAGAGAACAGAACCATGGTCCGTATGAACGACCCTCTCTTGTAGGTTTGCCAGCAAACTCTCACCTTTCTGGAAACAATGGACAACTTTTATAACTGATTCAATAAAATTCCAAAAAACATATTTCATTTACAAAAAAGACAAGACGTGACATTTGGATTTGAGTGGATTTATAAGAAAATTCCATGTAAATCATGAATAGAGATCATTTTTTCTGAAATAATTTCTTTTAAAACTACATTTTCAAAACAGGTGAAAATTGATGAACTTCATTCATAACTGACTTAATCAGATGGAAGCACTGGATTTCTTTCTGGGTTCTTATTATCATTATATCATTTTGTGGATTTGTTATTGTATGATAGAAATGAAAATCAAATGGAATCATGAGATTCTTAGTCCTTTTGGTACATGTTTTCAATACACAGTTTACAAGTCTATGGATCAACAAAGAGTATGTTCACAAGTTTCTCTTAATAATCTACAGTGTATAACTTTAGCAATTATGAATCCATGTTACATGTACGAGGGTTGTCCCAGATATAATATAATTTGAAAACTTTAAAAATAAAATCCAATATTACCAGAGTTCTACTAACCTCTTTGCCAAAAGTTGTCATGGCAGTTGAAGGACTCGCAAAGTCTTTCCGTATGTAGATCTTTTGTGTGGATGTGGCCACATTGGCGGCTCCAGGAATGAGGAGCCTGTCTTTGGGCTCAGGAGGCTTCCTCTCAGACTGCACAGCTGCAAGATTGGAAACTATAACATTCAATAAACCAGCGCTGTCAGAGTGAATAGAGTAGGAGATATGACATGAAACAACACAAGGATAGTCCCCTTCATAAGGTGCATGATAGTCATTATGTCAACAATGAAAAATGCTCAGAAATCTGTGCATGTTTTTCATGTTATTGTCTGACTACCATGCATCTATAGTGTACAAAAGGTTGTTAAAAGAGACAGCATAGAGGACACACACACCACACAGTAAATAGATGAATTCATGATATTGAGATATGTCAACACATATGTAATGCTATAGATATGTAGAAATGAAAGCAATCTGATAGTCATGCAAAAAGTCTCCTTTCTCCAATATATATTTCCATACTCAGTGTAAAATGGTGTTTGGGGTGTAAAAAAAGCTTGATGCGAGGCTAAATATGATACAAAAACACCATTCCACAGTAAGAACAAAACACTTGAATGATATTGAGGTTATCCACTGCTTACCATCTACATTGATCTCCCTACATCATTATCATACTTATTATTGCTTATTATTCTAGCCATGAAATACTCCAACATTTACATTCAGCCCTGATTCCCACCGGAAATACTTCAACACTTACATTCAGCCCTCATTCCCATTGGAAATACTTTAACACTTACATTCAGCCCTCATTCCCATTGGAAATACTTTAACACTTACATTCAGCCCTCATACCCATTGGAAATACTTTAACACTTACATTCAGTCCTAATTCCCATTGGAAATACTTCAACACTTACATTCAGCCCACATTCCCATTGGAAATACTTCAACACTTACATTCAGCCCTCATTCCCATTGGAAATACTTCAACACTTACATTCAGCCCTCATTCCTATTGAAATACTTCAACACTTACATTCAGCTCTCATTCCCATTGTGAGGCACTTCTGTAGCCTGCAGTACTGACATCTATTGCGATGATGCTTTGTTATAGGACACTCCTTGTTACCCCTGCAGGCATACCCCAGCTGCTTACGTATGCTCCTCTTGAAGAAGCCCTTGCAACCCTCACAGCTAACAGCTCCATAATGACGGCCTGAAGGGAACAAGCACATATATCATATCTTAATTTCCATGAACTTTTTCATCAAATGGCCATTCTGTAACAGGTGATACCAAATTTACCTCATAGGGCAGATACAATACAAGTGTAACATTTTCAAAACTAGAAATGTTGCACTTATGAACATCCTATATTCTATTTGAATTTTTAAATATTAAGGAATCAAAACTTTGGGTTACCAGATGCTCGATCTCCACAGACCACACAGGGTTCAATCTTTTGCTCAAATGCCTGTTTCTGTGTGATGAAGTCCTGGGCAGCTGAACCATCAATGCCACCTATTGTTATTCTTCCCTGTTGTTGCATCTCCTATAATAGTAATATGTATGGGATATAAGACATTTTGAGAGATACCACTTTTATTATTAGAATCCTAAATAACCAGAATGAAAAACTACCGTATTTCAAAAGCTCCTAAGATTAAAATAATGTTAGATCTTAATTCTAACATTGAATCACAAATGCAAAAAATAATTGAAAAATACTTCAAGTCCCATGATATATACAATGTTCAATAAGAAGGAAATGACTATATTCAATATAATGTAAGAAATGTTAGGTTACCCTAATTTTAGCTGCCCAGTCAATGTTTCCCCCAGTCAGTCCAGCAGCAGAAAGCTGAGCTATCTGAGCCAGTTGGGCCTCTCCTATTTGCGTATTGGTCGATTCCCCTAGGCCTGCTACACGCATGGTTGACCCCTGCTTCAACCTGGCAGCTACATCTGGATTCAGCTGAGTCATAATGATCTGTTGTTGCTGGGAGCTTGATGACATCACAGGCGTACTGCTCCCTCCCTGGACACCCTGAACACAAAAACAAACAAATAAGAACATGTTTTGTGGTCTTGAATCAAGCCTTTGGTCATCCATACTGTCGTGTCTTCCCTTATGCAGGTACAGAAGTATTTGATGTATCTAATTCTTTTAGTCTAACATTTTTCCTGCTTTTCAAACTTCATGATTAATTATTAAACATGTATGGTCCTCTTATTCACTTTCAGATTTATAAACAAATTAAAAAATACTGTTTTTAAAACAAAACAAAAATAGTAGTTCTAGCAAAACAAAAAATTATTTAAGTTTTTGAGTGAAAAATTATGACAAAACCAAGTCTGCATGTTTCTTGTTGTTTCTTCGCAATATTAAGGAGACATATGACCTTAAAACTATTATCACTCAATTCGTCATACATTTACGTAATCATACAATTGTGTTGTTAGTTATGTAATCATATATTATTATCACATAAGTACTGTGTTTGTTAATATTCTGCGCCGATCTCAGAATTTGCAGCAGAAGATACTGAAACATCAATCATTAAATCCTGCCCTTAAGCCCCAGTCACTTTCCCTCAGCTACTGTACAGTCTCTAATTTCTGCAGTCCGTAACATTTCAACAGTCGCCTTAGTATTTCTGCGGTCAGATAATTTAACAGACACATTTGCTATGGCAGCCGTACAAACATTTTGAATTGAGTGACCATATTGGAAATTTTTCTTGAACAAAGCCCCCAAGGGATCATCATATAAAATTTGAGCAAAATCTGTCAACCAGTATTTGATTTATCAAAGATTACATTTAAAATGGCAGCCATTAAATTGAGCAGCCATATTCAAAATTCCTTCTTGAGCAAATGTCCTATGCCCACAAGACATCACACTTCAAAATTTGAACCCAATCTGTGGACCAGTATTTGAGTTGTTGCATAGACACATGAATGAACATATGGATGATCATACGGATGGACAGACAGCTTCTCTTTATCCCTACCACTTCATTGGATGGGATAATAAAGATCAAACCTGCGTAACATCAACTAACAATTAAACATGATAATAACAATAATATTCCTTATATAATTTTAAATTACTTTTCTTGCAAGTAGATATCTCCACACCTGTAACAGAGAGAATGGATACGCAGTGGTATACAGGGGCTTGATACAAGTCTAACAAGGCATTAACATGCAAAATGTCACCACCTGCCATTTGTTACAGATGCCAAACTCTGAATGCCAAACACTGAACTCTGAATGCCAACCACCATCCACGCAAAAGTTACAGACTGTAACAATATGCCACTACTTGTGGTGGTGACAATAATTAGTCATTCAGTTTTTCTTTTATGGTTTTCAGTCATATTATTTTTACAAAATAGAAAGGGAAAAAATCATAAAAGGTGAAGAAAATGCCTTATATTAAAGTCCATTGATGGTGCAATTCGCAGACTGTTATGATTTTCTTATGAGGTAAAAGGGGTCAGAGTCAGAGACTGTTACTCGAGTCTCTAGCTTACAACTAGATGTAACTTAATTGATTTCGTATGTACTCTAGAAAAAGTGCTACACACACCTAGAACTCATATTAAATAAATTTTATAAACATTTTTAAGAATATTAATTATATTTAGGATGAAGCGTTGCTTGTCTGGAATTAGATATTTCAAAATTTCTTTTCGGAGTTTGTCACACATGGTGAAATTTTCTTGCTGTAGCTAAAAAATGGCTTCCGGTTCAGGATGTGAATCAAATGGAGGAAACTTTGAAATTATCATCACTTAAAGAAATCAAATATAACAATAGATTCAGACAGGGATGTGAGCTGATGTTCTTCAAATCTTAACATAAAGGTATATTTTATGTTATTATGCCATATTTACTGTGCGTGTGACACAATGATTTATGCGGCTCAATCTTTCTCCTCAAAGTCGGAATATAGAGAAGGCTTTGGACCTAAGTAAAGAGACTGAATCCTTGTAAGATATAGAGATGTAGAAAAACTGTTTACTCACTGCTTGAGAGATGGATATTGGGAATGGGATACTGCTTATATTCCCTGGAGCCAGTGTAAAAGTCTGAACATTCTGATTCTGCATTGAGCCATCGACTGACACGCCAGAACTCTGAGCAAGATTAACGTGGATAACGTTGGGCTTATTATCTGCTCCTCCTTCAGATGTCTAAAACAGGAAAACACTAATGCATAATTTAGAACAAACAATGGCATTGTCTAGAACAGGAAAACAATGGTGCATAATTTAGAATAACCAAAACATGAATATTTTAGGGGTTTTAATTTCCGACAATATGAAAACCAATCAAAGTACCAGGCATATTAAAAAATTATAAATGAAAATGGGAATTCCAGAGTTGCAAATTTCCTCAAAATAAAGAGGGACTTTGGTGATAACAACTAAAAAAGGTTTTGCCTTTTGCCTGCTGCTAACAAAACTTTATATTACAACTAAATTGCTACAAACAAATGTGAGCTTTCTGACCTGAAATTTTAAAGTTAGTTCATAAAATATATCATTCACAACAAAATAAAATTCTAAAAAATATAATATCATATTTATGCTACAAAATAAATCATTACAGAAAATGGCAGCCTGGCAAACAATGACTAATATGAGAGACTTTTATTTCTTCTTAACTACTCTTAAAACTATATATACCTTAGTTAATTTAGCCATCTCTTCCTTATATTTGTAATAATTATACTGCAGTAACTCCAGAAGCATTGTGTCTTACTATTAAATTCTTTACTTTTTTGAAAATCTATTCCACCTTTCTAATTAGATGTAAATTGCATTTTTAAAATGTTTATTTATAATGCTAACTTATATCATGCTTGAATAAAATCCAAGTATTTTCTGAATATAAGTCTTTGATCCACTTCACCATGTGGGTGCTACTACAGCCTCAGTCAATCCAATTTATTATATATTATACTTGTCCTGTTTATGTCATATATACCATGTCAATAGAAATCTTATATTTTGCATAACCTGAATTTTACTGATGTTTATATCAATGAGACTCATGATGTGTTAATTTGCTAGAGAATCCAATGAAGTCATATATAGCCCGTCTACCTTAAATCACTTTCTAGTGAAACGCTCACCTTAGCTAACCTCTACACAGCAAAGTGTGTGACCTCATATATTAGGGTTAAATCCCACATATCATATGTATATGCAGCTAAACAGTACAGATCAGAATCAAGAGAGCAAGAAAAACAAATGGCAAGATTTTTTCACTTCCAATCATCGAAAAAAACAAACACAAAATAATCATTTGAAAAAATATAATCTATGAATTAATAGAAAGCTAACGGTTATTCTAGTTTAATGGATTTAATAAGCGTCTTGAATCTGGCTTTGTTTCATATGTTGACCTTTTTAAGGTAACATTGTGTGTAAAATGAAACTGACAGCAACACCAAGGTTAAGTCCATCCCAAGGACAGCATGAAGTCAAAATACAAACCATACAACATTATCACATGTTCTTTGCAACTTTTTTCATGTTTGGTATTTCACACAACCAAAAAATGCTTCTGTTTCTTCTTAATCATCTTAATTATAGTATTGTGGCCGTAAAACAGCTTTAGTAGCATGAAAAGCAGTATTTTGAAACTGAAACTAAGTAGGAAGTACCATCTTAATGACTGCCATAATGGAATCAAGAAATAATAAGTTTAATGCTATGTCTTTAGGATAATATATACTTCTAAAATCAAAAATACTTTTTTTGACCTTTTTTGACCTTGAAAAGGTCATTGAAGGTCAAACCTTAAAAATAAAGTCAGAATTGAACATCTGAAAACATGTAGATGATTTTGAAAAAAATTGAAGTCAATCTAAACAGTATTTGTTAAGTTATTGGAAGTTGTAAGAATTTGTTACCAACGCTGATTGCCAACCGCCGATCGCTAACAGCCATAAAAAACCATAACAATATGTCACCACTTTTTGGTGGTGACATAAAAAGTGAAGTGCCATTCATGACTTCAATTTAATTTAATGAAGGCTTTAAATGCATGGACCAAAAAGGGCCTTCCTCATACAATTGCTTGCAATGATCAATCTCTAATCATACATTGAGATACAGTGATGATAACTGCAATTTTTCTTACAAATACATTACATAATCTGACTATTGTTGATAAATAAACAAGGTTGTGGATATAATCAAAACAATACTGACATTAATTTAAGGTCATTATGGTGTTCAGGTCTGGAACACTAGTACATATATAGTGTATTATAATATGTTATCCATCTAGACCAGGATTAAATGAATTACTGGGTCATACTTATTGGTAAGGTCAAATGTTTCATTATTCATGGATTATAAATCGTGTCCTTAAAAGTATGGTATTATGATATAACAATAGAGTAATCTTATAAAACATTGCATCATTAGACTCGGACTACCTTAAATGTCATCAAATATATTTAATATCATCCAACTAATGTAAACAAATCAATTAACAAAATCAATGTTACCAGTGACTTTTTGAAAACTTATGTTCAAGAACTATTTGACATTGATGAATGATTATAAAAAACTGGAAAAACAAAAACTAGTACTAAGGAATCCCATTGAGCAAAACATATTTTCTAAATGGTTTATTTTGAACGTTTAAAGATGGAAATTACCCAAAAGTACCCAAACCCATAAGGTAAGGGCCTATACAATTCGAAACAAATCTGTAAACCAGAATTTGAGCTATCATCCAGACTGATGAACAAATGGATGGATGGACGGACAACCTCTACATCCCCCACAAAATTATTAATTGTATGTATTTTCACATATTTTTAAGTGAACACTAAGACGTCATATCAGTTTCGGCGTATGTATAATAATGATAGCAATAATAAAATGGGGGGTTACATCAGGTGATCAGATTGTTATGCAAGTTCATTTGAGTTGATATATCAAAAAGTGATACCTGTTAGACAATTTCAAAAAAATCCTGAGCGCAATATTGAATGATGAAAAGATTTTACATTTCGATTTAGACAAAGATGGTTAGTAGTTTAAGTTTATATTCTACGGTTTTAACATAAAATTTGTAATAAACTAATGAGCAATATTTTCCAGATATGAGCCACTGTTTAACATGCTTTATAAACTGGGGCCCGATCTTGTACCTTTTGTAGTAACGAATGTTCACAAGTCCATTGTTTGTGAATTTCATAAAGTTGCATTTCTGTACTGTAAGATTCGTAAAGTTACGAACAATTTGTAAAAATATGAAAATAGTGACGCCATACCTCCTTTCGTTTGCAGATTTAATACATAGCAGCTCTGACCCTTTCATAACTTTGCAAACGGCTCCTAACTTATTGTATTTTGTGACATATTGTCATTTTTTAATCAGAGAAGACTAAGGGCAACACATCAAATTATTTTCAACTTATTTTTATTTTTGCTTCAATCTTTATTTTTTAACAACTTATCGTATGACTTTGATTTTATTAAAAACTTGTTTTGTTGTACTATCTGGACTATCTGCCATGACAATGGTGGAATATTATGTCATCCTATTCGTAAATCTAGCTCTAAACAATTGAAAAGTTATGAATGACTTATGAAAGTGTACAGAAATGGTCCATTCGCAAATTAATGAATTCATAACTTTTAAATATTTACAAATAACGAACATTTGTTACTTTGAGCGGTACACATTGATCTCCCCAGGATTTTTTCTCAGGTGGGTGCAAAATTCTCATTTTCTCAATTCAGAGCAAAATTGGTCAAAATATGCCAATTTTTTTTTCATTTTCAAGTGGGTGCAAAAAGATTTTCAGATGGGTGCAAGGCTATTTTCAAAATCTCAGGTGGGTGCTGCGCCCACTTGCTTTAAAGCTAGGGAGATCACTGGTACAAGAACGGGCCCCTGGAAACATTTATAAATTGTTGTCTTTGCATTACAACTACACTTGAACTTATTTAAGGTTTCACCAAATATTTACAAGAACTACATATTGATATAGGTAATGTATTATATAACAATATGTGGGAGAGATACATTATGCAACTATGCTAAAGGATGAATTGCATGACTATTTTTGTCATTCCCTAACTAAATGGTATCAGATACACATACCTATAATATGTATATAAAAATGGGTGTTGATTCCAAACTGAGTCAACAGTCAGACTCACATAATCAGTCAGCATAAAGTGTATTAAGAGGCTTTAATTGTGATCATTTTCCTCAAGTCTCTCAAAAATCTCAGGTGCTTTAATGCTGAGGGAAATCACAGAATCATATTTCTGATATTAGTCTATTTGATTGAAAATATATATTGGCTAAAAATATTGAGCCAGGGGCTTGATATAATTCAATTTATTATATGCTATTATAAGGTCTCTCAAAATTCTCTTGAAATATTATCTTCAGAAATATATGTTCTTTATACTGTTCTTTATTTGTTATTGAGTCCTGCTGCATTGGCAATGTATTAATAAATGAAAATTTAAAGGCCAACTATACTTAATTTAAAAAAAAAATCATTGAAACATGTTACTCACACACTCAATCAAATATGATACAAAGTTTGATTTGCTTTAATATTGAACCAAGAAAAAATAACTCACATAGAAAAAAGCATTTGAGGTTCAGAGATGATTAGACATACATGCACATGTTAAAGAAAGTGCATGTTTTAAACTGTTGATTTAGAAGATGGCGACACTTCTATTAAAATGAATGTATCATGTAATACAAATAACTTTGCCATCTTTCAATGACATTGATAGAAACTTGATATATAAAGCTTGACAGATCGATAATATTTTTGATAATTTATTGTAAGCTTTGATGTGGTTCGTTTGAGCTGTTTTTTGGTGTCAAATGAAAGATAAGGTTCTTATCAATACATTGGACATAGTATGAAATTCAAACGTAAGTCTTTATTTTGCCAAAAGCTGTTGAAAATATGCAAAGTGGGCCTTTAAATAAATATTTCAAAATACTAAAGTCTGCCTCATTGCCTTTGAAATGGCAGGCCATCTCCAATTCTAAATCATTTACCTAGAGGAAATAGTTCATTAATTGGCTGGCGGTAATAGCTGAGGTGACATTAAAAAGTCAATAATACCTGAATAGATATCTCACATATACAGAAGAAGGATGTGCAAGCTGACTGAGTTCCTGTTTAGACGTCTGTTCTTTGCAGTTTATTTTCTCAAGAATTAGAATTTATTATGAGGTGGAACCGGAAACCATTGTTTTCTTCTAAGAAAATCTCGTAAATCGTTTTAACTCATGCAGGGCTCTCGCTAGGCTTTCAGACTGTGGCGCAGCACCACAGTCTATTTAGCTCCCACCACAACCTATTGGCAAATCATGATTGCTCTCACACTCTTAACTCGACTGAATACACAATAATAGCATGTAAAAAGGATAAAATATGACACAAAGAAGATTTATCAAGATTGAACAATTTATGCTGAAAATATTTCCACCACACCCTAAATATTTCCTGGTGAGAGCCCTGTCATGTTATACCAAAGAAAATGAAAAAGTAACCTACACTGTACAATAGGTATATCATTTGCAGGTAATGTCCACTTCCGTTTGAAGTTCAATAACTATGAGTTATTAAAAAGCTACTAATAATGGTGATAGCTATCACACTGGAATAGCTTGACAACAGTAAAGTCGGATATTGTTGTCACAAATGGTGGACATAACCGTCGCTTCAACTGTTTAATCACTTGGTTCTCATTTCATGGGATTTTATCGTCGCTAATTCTGTGCATGTATTAAGGTCTTATGATAATACGAGATATCATATGAAATCCCATTTTCGATCAAATTGGGTCGTGAATCGCCACAATATAGCGTCTTCGATATCGTCAATGACAGCGAAATCTGAATTTGAGTAATTTAGAAAGAAACCAACATATGGCAATTACAGTGTCCGTCGTCCCGTATCTCATTTTGAATGGTTAAATTAAAGACTTTATTTCGACGGTAGAACATTATTAACTGTACAATGAGTATTAAGACACTTTGATTGATTGTTGTTCCAAAGGAATTTAGTCTAGGTGCTCTATTTAACATACAGTTCATGAAAATCTAATTGAAGCGACGGTTATGTCCGCCATTTGTGATTACAGTATCTGACTTTATTGTTGTTAGATTATTCCAGGGTGAAATAAAGTCTAAAATGCATGCTTTAAATTTTTATGTCACCGTGTTTTTATCAAAGGAAGTTTTATTTTTATGAAAAATAGCTTGATTATCCTAAGCAGACAAATCTTCCGATCAAACCCCATGTTAAAGGTTTGTCTTGCAAACCATTGTGTAAAACCGACAAGACTGAACACTAGATAAGTATTTTGATATAATCCGATAAGTATGTCTCCTATTAACAAAGAACTGACTAACAATTTCTAATGGTCTTTTCTTCTTTTATACTTTGTAATGTCTTTTTTCTTTTATACTCAATGTATTTTCTCTGAATATGAAGCTGGCTAGACAATGAAATCAACAAAAATCATATTTCAAAGAGTGATTTACCACTTGCTCTCCAGGGGTCCCAGGATGCTGCACTGTGATGATATGTGGTTGTATATCCTCCTGTGCTCCTGTAGTTCCTGCTGGGACTGATATGTTCACTGCAGTGTTGCATTGTGGGACTGCCATGTTAATTGGTGGAGAGGATGCTGGGATGACCATGGTTACAGGAGTAGAACATGTTGGGACAACCATATTTACTGGTGTGGCAGTGCTGGCTGCCTCTTGTAGGTCCTCAATGGAGGCCATCCTCCCACTTTCTGTAGCTGGAACATACAAAATAATGGTCTCATATAACAGTATTAACTGTTTGTTTTAATGGCAAGCTTCATTCACTGTTTTAGTTGAAGCACTGGCAATCTTTTAAAATACCTGGCCTAATGTTAAGCTTAATATGGTGATTGGGATGAACCAGTGGCAATCTTTTAAAATACCTGGCCTAGTAATAAGCGTAATCTGGTGATGAGGCTGATCTTTTAAAATACCTGGCCTAGTAATAAGCGTAATCTGGTGATTAGGCTGATCTTTTAAAATACCTGGCCTAGCAATAAGCGTAATCTGGTGATTAGGCTGATCTTTTAAAATGCCTGACCAAGTTGTAGACATAACAGTGATTACCTTAACCTAGTGAAAGTCTTTCAAAATCAACCTGTTTACTTGACCCTGAATTCTTATTACAATATTGGTCAGAATTGTTAAAATAAGTATCAGCGAAGACTTTTCCTTATGATTAATTACTTTTCTATATATAACTTTAACAATTTACCCTTTGGGATTACAGAGTCAATAAATAGATTTATATCACAGTCCTACACATATTGTTCCAGTTATTAAAGTACATGTTAAAAAATAAATAATTCAATCAATTTAACCATTTTACAAACCTTTTACTTTTAAACAATGATATCATTTAATAGCATTACAATTATGATTTTTCCATAATAAGCTATCCAAGAAATATTTGGATATTGGCAATCAAATCCAAGATCTAAGAAGGCATCAACAAGCAAAATATCACCACATGCCATTTGTTATAAAGACAAACCACTCGACGCCAAACACCTACTACCAAACACCATCCACAAAATGTTGGAGACAATAACAATAAAAATAGAATGTAAAGTGATTGCCTTTTATTTCATAAGATATAGTCAGACAAGAACTGTTTTCTTGACATTGAACATGAGAAATTCACAATTTCCTTTAACATTTATAAATCATTATTTCTTTCTCTCTTTGTTTCAGAAGCATACTTCAATTGAAGCTAAAGGTTAGAAGTACATAAGGAAATCCATCCTCTACTTAGGTTATCTTATAAAGGTCACTCTGTGGCATTTTCTATTGAATACTATTTTATCAAGTTAATAAATGAAACTACATCATTTTATAAGTTCACATCTGCTCGAACGTCATGATTTTGTAGATGACATTTAATACCTTTAACTATGTGCAGACTAAAGTTAAAAATGCAGCAATATCTGAGAAGCTATCTTAATTTTTAATATTAACTCAGAATTAAAAAAATGTTTAGATTTCAAAATAATCTTTTTAAAGCAATGTGAAATCATTAAAGGCAATGATACAAAAAAAACAAGGCACTGAAATGTGACAGAATGTCACAACTTGATTGAAGTTACATATATGTCACCACATGTTACAGATGCTGATGCTGCATGATGACCACAAAAGTTGGTAGCTAGCTATAATTACATATCAGCACTTCTTGGTGGCGACATTTCAATGTAGATGTAGTTTATATTATCACTAATTTGTAGCACTCTCACAGCCATGATTATGTGCCTCACTATGAAATTACATGGTAATACCATGTAATATTTTACACTATTGAACTCATCTATTAAATGAATTGGTTCTTTTGTTCCATGCTTGTAAATGTTAGATGTCATTTAGGGGCGGGGTCAAAATATCAATGTTCATATGGGGACGAAAGTAATTTCGTTTGGACAACAACCCCCCCACCCCCCCTCTAGACGAAAGCTTAGGTCACTTCAAAAAAAACATTGATTTCCTATTTGCCGGGTTATTATTACGGTAAATTAACACACGTTCGCAATTTAACTGCATTGAACTCTTCAAAAGGAGGAGGGAAAAGTACGGAATTTATTTGAAAAATAATCGAATTATCGTCTTTATCTACCGATATTTTGGACCTATCACACAAAAAAGCTCACGAACTATTGAAAACAAGCCTTTTTATCAGAACATAGCGCCAGAAAAAGTGGGTAAGTCCAATTATTTTTTGTATATCAGATCCGAATTATCGATGTTTTTTTGGTCAACGAAAGTGCCCAAAAACCCCCTCCCCCCCTCGCAAAAGTACTTTCGTCTCCATATGAACATCGATATTTTGACCCCGCCCCTTAGAGGGAATAATTTGGTACTCCATAATATAACCGAATGGCTCCCAGTTCCTTTAAGCAAATACAAAAACCATTTTAAGAATTTTGAGGAAAATTTTAGCACAACAATAGTTCAAAGAAAACCTTATAACATTGGCATGGTTTCATGGTATTGACTGTGCTGGAACGTAATAATGAAAAAGTAAAGGTGTACTAATAACAACAAACAATCTAGAAACGACCTTAATATACCTTTGGATGTTATCAGTTGGGAGAGTTCATAATCTAGAAGTGCACTGTTGATATGAAAACACGATGTAGTCATTTAAAAACTAGCAAACCTGCATCAATTCATATATGCAGAACAACATAAGAAACTAAATGTACTTTTTCCTCCAAATCCCCGAATCTGTGGCATAACTTTAGAGAATGAAGAAACAAGGGAGGCTTAAATAGGGGAGGGTTAGGAGGCTGACACTTTAAATTTTGAAATTTCACATACATGTATTTTCATATCTTTGGCATTTTTGGAGATGTTTCCTAGCAACATCAACCAGAACAACGGCAACGCAAAAGCGTAGCGAATCCCATCGAACAGCCATGGATGGCATTTTTACAAACAAAGTATATAGCAAAAATGGCAGGCATTTTTCAAAATGGCCGCCTTCTACCAATAGTGTCATTAGACCATTTGCCATACTTATAGTATTCACATACCAAATATGAACACAATCGCTCCACTACTTTTCGAGTTATAGTAAAATACGTTAAAATGGCGGCCATTTTGAAAAATGGCCGCCTTCTACCAAAAGTGTCATTAGACAGTGTGCCATGCTTACAGTATTCACATACCAAATATGAACAAAATCGCTTCACTACTTTTCGAATTATAGTAAAATACGTTAAAATGGCGGCCATTTTGAAAAATGGCCGCCTTCTACCAAAAGTGTCATTAGACAGTGTGCCATCCTTATATTATTCACATACCAAATATGAACAAAATCGCTTCACTACTTTTCGAGTTATAGTAAAATAGGTTAAAATGGCGGCCATTTTTTAAAATGGCCACTTTCTACCAAAAGTGTCTTTAGACAGTGTGCAATGTTTATAGTATTCACATACCAAATATGAACAAAATCGCTCCACTACTTTTCGAGTTACAGCAAAAATCGTAAAAAAACGAGTTAAGGCCGCCATTTATCAAGATGGCTGCCATGTGCTTTTTTAATATCTACATTTCTAGCTTTATTAATGTACTATATAATTTTTTTACATCTAAAACATATTGCTATTACAGTTTTACATATTGCACCTAAATTACTGTAAATTCGGCACTAAAATGGCCGCCATTTTGAAATGAGCGGCCATTTTGAAAATCGGCTTTCGAGCAGAACTTCTACCCCCATAGGGTATATGTGTACAAAATATGAACAAAATCGGGCCAGCGGTATTTGAGTTATTGCCCGGACGGACGTACGGACGTACGTACGGACGTACGTACGGACGGACGGAGGCGTTCCCTATATCCCTCCGAACTTCGTTCGATGGGATAATAAATATACAATGAAAAAACAGTGCATGTATATCAGAACACCTCTTTAATCCAAACACCTCTAAATATGAACACTTTTTCTCAGTCCCAAAATGTCTTATTAACATGTCATGAAAAATTTTACAGTATCAGGGTTTCTCACCAGATTTTTAGACTTTGGAAAAAACAGCATCTTACCATCCTTTCTAAAAGGAAAGTAGCCTATTATCAGAAACAGGGAGAAAATCTATACTAGTGACAGCCACCTATGTTTAAGTTTTTTCGCTCAAAGAATACTCTGTGTTGAAGAATGAAAACAGAAATGATAGTGAATAACTGTCACAAGTATATACAGTGGAACACATTTAGAGATGCAACATCTCTGTTAGAACAACACTTTTTAGAGTCCCAAGACCAACCGACTTGATGATAAATGAACCTCTTAAGTGGAACATCTCCCAAGTGGAACACTTTTTAGAGGTACCAAAGGTGTTCCACTTAAACAGGTTTAACTGTATTCCATATCTTGAACAGGGCCCCAGTCATTATGAAGCATAATGTAACCAACTCATTTGATATTAAACTGGAACAATGCCTTGATAATTTTTATGCCTTAGCCCAACGGTAAGAAAAAATCATTAAAAAATAATATCTTATCGGCTAACCATATCCCTATCATACTATTTGGTACAAGTAAAATAAAACAGAAGTTTATATTATCTTTTTTCCAATTATATCTTAAAAAAATGACTACCTGAAAATTTAGCTAACATCTTTTAAAATATCAAATCAGACATACCTTTTGCTGTAATTTGCATTCTACCCTGACATTTGGCATTAACGAATATATTGTGTTCTACATCAAGCTTCTTGTTTAAGATAGCATAGACTTTCATCAAATGGTTAATTACTTTTTTAGCTGAGACTTGATCAAAGGTCATTTGCTGATACAGCTATAGGCATATCACTTCAACTTGTTATAAGGTTATGACCAGGGTCATATAGGGTCATCTCAAGAGGTCACAAAACATCAACATTTTTTGTGGCAGTCTGAATAAACAAACTCAAAACAACAGTATGTTATCTTTGTTGAACCAACACCTGGTAACCTTTGGTGGTTCACTAATGGCTCATATAAATAATATATAGAATCGAATATGAATTAAAAAGGAAAGAGTGGTCGTGGATTCTAGATTCAAACCAAATACTATGATGTAGTTAGTAGTTACTGAATTTAATCTCATGTATGCAAAGTATTTAGACTTTCTACATCAAGGTATAACCTTGGAACTTTGAATAGTTATCCCCATGAAAAGAGCTCATCTCCACAGTAAAATACATATAGCCTTGCCAGTGACTCTGGATATATTGTAAGTAAAGGCTTGTAAATCTCTTTTAGAAATTAACTGTTGAAATAGTGTATCAGTTCTTCTATTGAAACCAGATATTTATGATTATCAACCTAGATTGTTAAGCTGACCAAGATGACAAGTGCTAATGATAGAGGAAAAACACAGAAAACAATTACCTATGAGTATGACAATGAAATCAAAGATAGATGGAGATCAATGATGAAGGGTAGCAAGCTGCCATATAACAATATAGATACATGTACATATTAAGAACATTGATTCATTTTATATTTTCTGAGTACTATGAAGATGTGAAGAGAAAAAAGGGTTAGCCAACATCTTTTATGTATGACAATGAAATCAAAGATAGATGGAGATCAATGATGAAGGGTAGTAAGCTGCCATATAACAATATAGATATATGTACATATTAAGAACATTGATTCATTTTATATTTTCTCAGTACTATGATTTATGAAGATGTGAAGAGAAAAGAGGGTTAGTCAACATTTTTTATTTTCCAGCAACACATTTCAAATGAAGACGACATATGGAATCCAAGTGTTTTCAGCTATTGAGTTTGCAGTTTGATATGAAGCAGTCACTTGTAAAGGAAGTTGCAATATAACAACTTAAGCAATTACAATCTATATAGCGATAGACTTGCTTTTGGTTTTGAAGGTACTGTTTTTAGTTTTTTCCATTTTAACCTAAATTAATTTTTCACCAATAACTTCACATTCACAACATTAAAAACATATTTTCAATTCAAAGACCAACTGCGGATAAACTCAATGGATCAATAATAAAGAAAGCCACGAAAGCTCAAGCACAATATGTCATCATGTAATAGGCATGGAATTGTAATCAATGAACTTCTTGTAAGGTATAAACATACCCCAAACACCAGATTATCATCTATATGTTATAATGAGGGGATTGAACCTGATCATAAAAAATAAGGTTCAGATGATGGGAGATTTCTCCCTTCATGAGAAATGATTGAAGTGATTGAAGTGAAATGATTGAATCCCTTTTTATTATACATGTATAAATAGAAATCACATTGCATAACCTATTAACTGCAACAACAACAATCAGAGTAGATTTGAAAATGATATCACGATCTGCATAATTTATAGCTAACCAGGATCAATTCATTCAACTGCTATATATTTATTCTTTGTACATGTGTTCGTGCATTACAGCGCAATATATATACATGGCAAGGTTGATCGTTTTTTAACACCAAGCTGCTAATGACATTTCTAATAGAAGTTGGCACGATATAGGTACTTATCCAGTGTTTTTCTAATGACCTATTTATTTAGTTTATAGCAAGAGAATGAGTGTGAACGGGTAAGGGACAAAGGTCATATTCAAGTCATCATCCCAAGCTTCTCTGACATCCCTGTGACTAGAAAGAACATACACATTCTCTTGAGGTAACATATATGACCCTGTAATAGGTTACCAACTGATAATCGATAGAATTGTGCAATTTATGAAATATAGCCAGAACTATTTGAGAAAATGCCAGCTTTGCATTGCTCAGAGGAAAGGTGAACAAAAGGTCATGGATAGGTTTTAGCATGTGTATGACGACCTGGCTATTTAGATGCAATTTTAGCATCCTCGCTACTGTCTAAATGACAATTAGTCCACTGTTAGTTGGTCCAATGGGGAGTCATTATATATACACAATCACAGATCATGAAATTGCATTTTATATGGAATTTTATTAAAAATGTTACATGGAAAAAAATCAACACAATTTTTTTTATTTGAACATGGCGAATCAGGAAATATTGAATTAAAACATGAAATACGGTAAATCATTTGTTCATATTTGTGTATGATAAACATAGATGTATTCCCCATATATTCATGTACATTTTGAAGTATAAAATATGTTATCTTACCACGAATTCGCCTGTGAAAATGTTGATTTCTGCAGACAGACAAGCTGAAAGGTCATAGTTCGTGACCCGCAAGTAAAGAGGAAGCTGTGACGTCAGTCAAAAGCTGACGTCTCATTGGTTAACGTTCTTCTTATTAATTATTCACCGCGCGCACCTGTCATGCGCAAGCCCCGGGTTTGCCATATCTCCAAAAACAGTTTCGTCCGTCGCGTAATCTTTCCCGGGACCATTTCAGCATTTACTAGCATCATTTTTTGGTGGTGAAAACATAAAGTGAAGAGGACTCGTTATGTCATGTTTTGTATTTCTATTTATTGCATGTGATGAGTTGGCATATAAGTAAAATAATATAAATATATATAAACGTAATGGTACGTACATATGAATAGGAATGAAACACATACATGTACATTTACATAAGGATCATATTTCAGAAAATCAGAAATATTCCTTTCATTCCTACTTGCATATCCATAAGTTCAAATAAGTTTGTGGACAATTATAAAAATATCTATGAATCTATGTGTTTGAAAGTAAATAAATTATGCATGATTCAAACATAGCTATGCATGCATTGCCACTCTTGACCAATCAATACACAATAAACATAGGTGAATCCAATTATGGGCTTTCTATTGAGTGCCTATGAGTCTCAATTCAATTTTATTGCTTTCAATTTTGTTAATTTAAACATTAAACATTAAAACATTAAACAATTTGTTTTCAGGTTTTATACCCATGCAAAATGTTAATTTTATTGCTTTCAATAAATTTGTTTATTTGAATGTTTTGCCATCTGTGTGAAAATGAGTAAGGCATCTGTCAATCCATCACTCAAAGGAGTAGAAGGGACAGAAATGAGTAAAAAATTGTCACAATTCTACAATATCTCAACTCTCATGTTCTAATGCATATTTGCTAAATAGTCCAGTAGTTCTGACTCTGTGTCAAGTGAATCCTTTGGCCTTTAAGGCTGTTATTGTGTAATGAATTTGGAAATTTCTGCATTTTTAATATCTTTGACAGCTTCTGTATTTGCATAGATATCTCAATTCTCTTTTCAGCAAATAAAAATGGCATGATTTTTAAAAAAATTATGCTTCCAACATTTTACACTCCCATCCAATCTACTGTGAGGTGATTCGCTCATTGAATAGTATGTTAGCTCAGATACTAGACTTATAGTCTCATGTTTTGCTTCATACTATCCAATTTGTGCTTGGGCTCACTTATTAATGATGACAAAACATTTCAAGACCATAGATAGTTATACTGCATTCTGATTGGTCAGAGGTGACAATGGTTGCCTAGTTATATTATTTATATTTATACATTAATCCTCACTCTCCTCAATTTTTCAAAATTACAGAACCTAATCACAGTATTGCAACATTCCCCAGACTTTACCCAATATCTGACATATGTGGGAAATAGAAAGCATATTTGAAGACCAAATACACCACAAAACCATATCAAATGTGTGCTTAATACATTTTTGTGCTTTGATAAATAAAAAATAAATACACAATGGAATAAAAACATGTTACAATCTATAGTTTATAAATTTTCATCTGTCCATAAGAAATCAAAATGACATCAATAATTTAAAAATGGAGGCTGGTCTGATTTTGGCCATTCTCCAAGAAGCATAGGTTATATAATCTTACAATGCATTCAAACATCTTCTCCAATCATTCTAAAGATGTTTAGAGTATAAAAAAACTTTCAAACTGGCCTAATCAAGCAGCCATCAAAAGAAGGCAGTTTAAAATGCTTCAAAACTGGCAAGCTAACGCCCTTAAAAATCTCACAGATCAAATTAGAGATTGTGTCAGGAATCAAAGGCAAGAGATACTGTCAACATTAAATGATCAGAGGGAAAATATTCCTCCGGTATTACTTTATAAATAATACTTAGTGGCTCCTTAAATAAATGACTGCCAATGATTAAAAGTGTAAATAGTGAAAACAACCCAAATATGAATAGAAAAAATGGTGGCAATTTTAAACAAGGAAAAATCCTTAAGAGACACTTGATATTAGATCTACGTATTCTCACAGTGTTGTACAGCTCTGGGTTACAAATACAGCAATCTTCACTATCGGGATGCCTCTTGTTCAGAATGTACACCAATCTGAAAACTGAATACAAAAATATCACAAAAATTAAAGTCCAGGCAGCTGTGTAGACTAAAAATATCCTATAGATTTTCTCGGAGCATTCTGGACAATCCGGAGCATTACATATATTTTTATCACCACCACTGACACATATTCCGCATCTACATGATGCATTTGGGCCACAATCATAGCGACATGATCGTCCTTTAAATCCTAAATATGTCTCGTAACCTGCATACAGTACATTTCTCATTCTGTTCCATATTATATGACTAGAATACAGTGCTTTGTATTGCGTCCCATTGCCTGTTAATTTACTGTTGACTGGTCTAAATTGTTTACTTGCAAGTATCCTATCAGGTCTGCTTTCTAAGCCTGGATTGGGCTGAAAGTACATGATTAAACAAATTATCAATATACATACTGTAGATACACTTAATTTGACAGATTTGCTCAATTTCAAATATTGGTGCCTATACTTAATTTGGCAGATTCAGGACTGAAGTTTAATTTTTGACTATGTTTCAGGTATTTACTATGATATTTTCTGTATTTCTTTTGGAATAATGAAGAATTGATTACATGTTCACAGGAAAAGAGGGCCCAGAAGTTTAATTTCTGAAGTGCATTGGACAAAAAACCTGAACTGACTGATTATTAATTTGGCGGATTTTCTGAATCAGGCAATCCGTCAAATTAAAACAGGAGCCAAATTAAGTGCATCTACAGTACTGAATTTTCTCAAAGTAAGCCCCTTCTTACATCTCTCCAGGGCATCATCTGGAGAGTTCAAAATAATGTTGATGCAAAGTTATCTTGGGGGTTATTATTGAAATTTTTGTCAACAAGCATGTCAAGTGAAGCAACTACTAGTAATTATTCATATATTTGACACTTATTTTTGCAATCCTCCTGTATCAAGCCAGCATATAATATATTATATATAGTTATGAAAGACTGACTATATTTTATTGAATCAGCTCAGCATTGATAAACATACATATTTTGTACATTCTTATACCACCTTGTATATACAGTACATACATGCCCATAGCCAGGATTTGTCAAGGGGGGTTCACTTTTTGAAAATTTCCAGGGGGGGGTTCACTTTTGACATTTTTTATCCAAAAATGACCAAAATCACTTAAAATGTGCTCAGAATGATGAAAAACTGCATGATTTTGAAAGAATTTTTGGCCAGGGGGGGGGGGTTCGCTCGAACCCATCAAACCCCCCCCTGGTTACGGGCCTGACATATAATACTTGCCATGTATACTTACCATATTACTAAATGTAAAGCCTGGTTGAACAATATGAATATCTTTCCAAGTATCTTGTAGCACAAATTCTTCAGATCTCTTCACAAGTCTAGCAGATCTGTAGCACTTGTTGTCTGGTGTGATGTCTGGTAGAGTAAGTACCTGAACTGGCCACTCAAAGTGATTATAAGTATTGAAGTCACCCACAACTATAGCATTCTTGAGGGAATTTTCTGGAAGAGTGAATAGAAAAAATGGCTGAATTTTGCTGAGATGGATGAAGTGATTCTAAATATACTGTAGTTATTCATCCTAAAAATCTGAGAACTGTTCCATTTTAAAGGTACCGCAATGGCTGAACATGACCCTATTCAGTATATGATATTATTATGTATCATTCACATTGAATGATCTCAAAATGTTTACACAGACTTCATAAAGCAGGATTCAATGGTATAAATGGTCACAAAATATGATGGTTTTGATGATATGTCACAACTTCCACTTCTTACTGGTGACATTATATGCCGAGCATCAATTTCACTCAGATTAGAGTACTATTAGTGCATGGTATATACCTTGAATATATTGCATAATCTCCACAGTATTTCCACATTGCTGTTGCCTATCATATGACAGGTGCACCACTATCAGATCTATGCTTCTACCATGGCCAAGACCAAGCTGAGCATGAAGTATTTCTCGTTTGTTTTTGTCGGGTCCATCATGGTATGCTAGTCTTTTTATTTTAGTCTTTATCACAGGATATTGACTTAGAAATCCAATACCTTAAAGACATTTGATTAAGTTTAATTTCTGCATTACGTGAGAATGAGATGTATAATGTTTGTGCATTAGCTGTAGTAAGAATAGTATTATATACATGTATGAACTAGTCTTAGGAAATAATAGATATGAAAACAAACTGATTAAAAAAAGTTACATAATATGTCTATGCAATATTCTAATTGCATATTCTAAAAATTGCTAATAAACCCCTTTTGTGGTGGATATGTACATGTATAGTTAAACAATGAATAAAATAGAAAAAGAATACAATTTTAGGCCAAACATACAGATAAAAATAGATCTATTTTTCAAATCATTTTAAAGGACCTCCATAGGCAAATTCATTTCTCTGGAGTTAATTAGACTGTCAAATACAAGTGAATATGATAATATCAATGATACCTTCTCTCTCCCATCCAGTAAGGTATGTATTTTTCATTGGAATAATGTCATTGATTGGGTGGAAGTAGCTCCATTTATAGCGAGGAAGTAGCTTCTGTATTTCATTGATTTGATTTTCTCCTGTCCTAACATCTGCTCGAACCTCTTGAAAGGCGATGATATCTGGGTTTATTTTTGTTAGCTAAAAAGAAGATGAACACGGCTAAATTATAGTCTTTCAATAACATGTTATATGTATGGGTTAATCGGCAGAGCGAGGAATTTTTTGTTTTTAATCACTAAATTTCTCCAGCTATTGGTAAATCCTGGCTCTGCGAATTAAGGGGGTATTTCTGATGTAAAACGAAAATCTCGTTCTGCCGATACAAACATATAATGGGGGATTCAACTTCATAAAAATAATCCAAATGTATACTCAGGAATGTATTGAGGTACATGTAGGTCATAAGTGTGGAATGCGTAGTACTTTCTCCAACATTGTAGAAACAGTCTTAGAATTGGATAAGATATGGTGAGGAAAGTAGTGCTCCTAAGTAGATGCGACTATGGCATTAGTGCTCTAATGCACATACATGCAGTTACAAAACAGGCAAGCCCAAATCATCAGTCATAGATCATCAGTATAGATCATGATTTGGTCATGCCCAAAATCTTACTTCGGTCCAAAGCCTTCTCTATATTCCGGCTTTGAGGAGGAAGATTGAGCTGCCTTAGTATTATAAATATTGTAAATCATTGTGTCACACGCACAGTAAATATGGCATAATAATATGAAATATACCTTTATGTATAGATTTGAAGAACATCAGCTCACATCCCCGTCTGAATCTATTGTTATATTTGATTTCTTTAAGCGAGAATAATTTCAAATGTTATTCACGTCCAGAACCGGAAGCCATTTTTAGCTACAGCGAGAAAATTTAACCATGTGTCAAAACTCCGAAATGAAATTTTGAAATATCTAAATCCAGACAAGCAACGCTTCATCCTAAATATGATTAATATTCTTAAAAATATTTATAAAATTTATTAAAAATGAGTTCTAGGTGCGTGTAGGTGCGTGCAGCACAGTACATACGAAATCAATGAAGTTTCGTCTAGCTGTAAGCTAGAGACTCGAGTAACCAAAATCAACTGCATACCGCCTGTGATGAGGCCATAAAAAACAAAATTTACCATTTGTATCAGTCCAAATTTTCTTATTGGCCAGTTGAACATTACATTCCACATGTTGAAAGTACTTATTTGGAGCACATCTGACTGTACTGGAGCACTGACTACGCATTCAAGGCAACATACAAGTATAAAAACAACAACAATTTTCATTTTTAGTCCATTTCCAATATCCGGGAACTTTACCATCATTAAAACCGAATACATCTTAAAAGAAGTAATTTGATTGGATAGATTTCCCAACTTCTCAAAATATTGGCCAATGACAAAAGTTGTAAGTCTGGAACTCGGCTACTTGTATGTTTTCTAAAATCTCCAGATTTCGTAAAAATAAACGATTTGTTCTATTTCCTTTTGACGTACACTACCAAGAGTATTTTATCGTTGATCTAATGGATTTCTTAAAGGCAGAGATAGAGAGGAAAAAGAAACAGCTTCAGAAAAGTGAAGTTTTGGTAAGTAGTGCGTGGTCTTTTGTTTCAAGTAGAATGGAGTTTCAATTCAATTCTGTAGAGATTTAAGAAATTCTCCATCTAAAATGTCACTCGACTTTTTTGTGATTATGAGTCAAAGAAAGCATGCTTGATTTTCAAATTGACTTCTGTGGTAACTTGAAACCATCTTCTAATTTATTCCACTTACCTTTTATTGTTTCTCCAAATATATTCTTTGAAAATCGGATTTTAAGGGTGTTAATCAGGGTAATTCTGTGCTATTTTATCAAAAATCTTGTTGCTATCTAGAAACGAGCAATTGTGATCTTGTTGTTACCTAGGAACGAGCAACTGTGATGTCACGTCACACTCATGTTAATTCTGGAATCACATGGCAGCCATTTTGGAAATTTCAAAAAAGTTCCCAATTAAAAAGGCTAAATGCTGTTTACAAATTGGAAACTATGGCAGAATCAACAAAGGGTTTGTGAAATAATTAGGATATGGTTTCAAAATTATGCACATGACATTATATGACTACTAAATGCAGGCAGGGACTTTTAATTGCCAAAAAGTCGAGTGACATTTTAGATGGAGAATTTCTTAGTTCAACGTCGTTAAACTCAATAACGGCGTTCTTTATTATTAGGAATTTTCTTGGGGCCATTATTGAGTTTAACCTCCTTACTATTCTTTCCTTTGATGCAAGTTCTGAATCCATCGAAACCATTTTTCCGCGACAACGTGCAACTGATACTTGACAATAATATAAAAACACATAACATCAAGCGATTTAACACAATATTATTGTGTTAAATGTTCATTTATACGAGTAAAATGAGGCTACACTTACCAATCTCTAAAGTGACATTTCCGCCATGTCCGTCATTGTGTCTGTTCGTCTGAGTGTCCCGGATCTTAAAATTAAACTACCAGCGAAACGAAATTGTTGTCAAATAGATTGATAATCATTATCGCGATTACTCGGGATAAAAAGATCAATTTTGAGGATAACAGGTATCTTTGATTAATTTATATAGCGCGTATATACACGCAAAATAGTTATTAATTGCAAACCAACTGTTCGTTAATGCAGTGCCGTGATGACGGTTAATTCCTGAAACGATTTGCAATTTCGATGTTACCGAAACTGACCGACATTTTCGTCATATTCCAAACCTGTCTCCAATATTTTCGTAATTATGCATCAATAGGGTCTAAGGGAGATACGGGACGGGGTGTATGTGTTTATAAGGTATGTATGCATGCTTGAATCACATTCTTTGTGTAATATTGCCATGTTTTCAGGGTTCAATTAGTTCCGCTTGTCGAAACCTGCTGAACGATTAAATTAACGCATCAAAGGCAAAATGGTCATGGAGGTTAGACCTAGCCGGGCCATAACACATGTCGGATAAGAAACGAGGCCCGGGCTAGGTCTAATGTTGTTGGACTAGTAGAGATTATGATTTATGAAAGCCCAGGCACTTATCCCGTTCCAGGACTATAGTCCTGTACTGAGCGCATACATTTGCCTGTACGATTACAACTTGGGAGAATTATCTACGCCCCTTCCACTTAAAGGCCCCGTGTAAAGTTTAAACCACTTTGGCTTATATTGTAGTCTTACCCAATGTTATCAAAGTGTGATATGTGAAACTTTTTTTTTTAATTTCAAAAAGTGGTTTTTGATAGACTTTTTGTTCCAAAACTTGTGAATTTATTTAAAACCAACTTTTAGAGGTCACTCATATCTTCTAATTAGCCACAATTCATACCAATGCATAGCATACATCCTCCCATGTCTTTTGCAAAAAAAATTAAGAAAATCGGTTGATAAACAAGCGAGAAATGAACTTATCAGTGCATGAAAATGGTTCTGAGAAAAATGCATTTCTAAATTTTAGTTCTCATAGAAACCAATGGTACAATGATAGCTAAAACATAATTTATTCTTCCTTTTAACCTGGTTAGACAATCAACATTGGTTTTTTTGAAAGTCTAGCATATTTAGAAAAGATTGACATCGAAAAAAAAAATTCAATTTTTTTCAAAATGTTTTTGTTACCTTAGTGACATCACTAATGTTTCAAAATATTTTGATAAGCTAAAACATTGAAGTGGCCCATTAAATATGACATTTTATTATTGAAATAGTGTGTCTTCTGTTCAATCTTTGCATTGGTGTTAAAAATATAATCTTGTTTGAAATGCATTAAGAAATATTTGATGATTAAGAAATTTCAACTTTTTTTGAAAAATGGCGGGAAATTTGAATATTTGAGAAATGAAATGCACACAACTTTTTTTTCAAAAAAAATTTTTTGTTCAAAAATCTCTAAAATCACTTTTTAAGTCCTGACAAATAGTAAATGAATGATAAAAAAATATTTTCAAACTTTAGACGGGGACTTTAAGAAACCTACCTCAATGCATTCTAGAACTTAAAATGTAACTTCTACAGTACTTTCAACCTCCAAAGATTTTCTCGCGGGACAGATTTTTTAGACCCAGTGCCCAAAATTCGCGGGATTTTGTGGGACATCTACTAAATTCGCGGGATTTCGCGGGACATTTAAGGGATTTGCGTGATTGCGCTAATAGGCCAATTTTTTTTATCAGGGATTAGGGTCAGGGGATTTCGCGGGACCATTCGAGGGACAAAGACCGTAATTGCGGGACAGTTAACAGGTTTACCACCAAAAACTTCATAGAGGGACAGATTTTTTAGACAAAGTGCCCTAAATTTGCGGGATTTCGCGGGACATCCACCTAAATTTGCAGGATGTCCCGGGACATTCAAGGGATTTGCGTGATTGGGACTAATGTAAAAGCGTGTAAAAGTACTTAAATCAAACTTTCAGATACTGATTAATCAAATATAATGCACCGTTACATTGTAACTTAAATAAACGTCAACACAATTTCACAAAATACGCATAAGAATATTATTAAACTTTATTGTAATTTATCAAAAACAAAAACCATGCTTCAGGTGTGAGTACCGTAATCTAACACGAAATTCAAAAATTCGGAACAATACTTTGCACTTCTGGCGTCGTGACAAACTATGAAACGCTTACCCCCATAATGTTATATATTAAAATGTACCTATTCATATACTGTAGGCATTTTAAGGCTCTTTTCTTCCTCTATCATCATGGTCATATTTCCATTGGTAATGAAGGGGGGGGGGTGCGGTCGCACCTAGGGGTGAAACGAATACTCGAGTATTCGGTTGCAAATAGGTCTGAGGTGATATTCGAATGGCATTTTCTTGTATTCGAATATTAAACGATTGACTGCGCATGCGCGCCGATTTAGTCTCCCGCCAAGACAAACCCAATTCTAAGGCAATCCCGATATAGATTACACGGTTACTCACCTAAGAGTCATCTGCAGCTCTTAACTGTAACCTCTGACGCTCTGAGTACTGCTGATTAATGGTATTAACTTGAATATAAAGTTAAGAACATTCGTTTGACGAGAGGCAATCTGCGCCAGGTTCGTTTTTAGATTAGGTTTTTAGCGCATGCGCTTGGAATAAGTATTTATAATCATTCATAACACAACCGTTGCATTGTCTTATCGTCTACAACTTCACTATTTTGAATTCGAATACTATAAAAAAGTTCTACAGTTATCGGTGATCGTTTCTTTACTTACTATTACGTATGGTGTGTGTTTTAGATCCATCGTATATTTGGTGTTTCCCGATGACGTAATTAACACGCCGGGAGAAGGTTGTATTTTTTGTTTTCGTTTTTATTTACTGTTTTATTGGTGAAATTAACAAACAAATAGGTAAATAAAATGCTTAATTGACGTAATTAAATGTAATAATATTACAAACAAACAAATGGTTTACATAACACAGCCAGCATTCTATTCAAACTTGGCGTATTTACTTCACATGCTCTTAGGAATCAAACAACTTATATTTACTTCCGGGTTTTTAGCGAATATTCGGGGCCGAACGGGGATTGGCTGGCCGAATATTCGGTATGAGAATTTACTATTCGTTTCAGCCCTAATCGCACCCCCTCCTGGCTACGCCAATGACAAGACAAATCAATCTTACTTTATTTTCAATAGGTCGTATGTTGGTACGTGAATTGTTTTAATTATGATTTAAATCTGTAAATAGCTATCGTTGCTTTAGCAGAGAGGTGACGTGTGTTAATTTACATGATGCAACGTGTAAGATTATTAATCATAATTTAATTTATCCCAATTTTCGACAAAATGTCCACTGAATTGTAAATTGTTATGTCTTACAATGTCATAGGCGTAGCCAGGAGAGGGTGCGATCCCCCCCCCATAACCAATGAAAATATGGCCATGACGATAGAGGAAGAAAAGAGCCTTAAAATATATGCTTTTTAATTGAAGCTTCTAGCTCAATTTTGAAGGATGTTACATACATTTTTGTAAATTCAAAACAAATCTTACACGTTTTCTCATAATCTAATTATGTTATATATTCGTATTTTTCGTTTTTTGGGTACCCGTTTTTTTTGACCGTGTACCGGGTACCTAGTTTGAACCCAGCATGGAGGATTTACTACCCGGTACCCTGTTTTTTCTACAAACCCTTTCTAGATATCAGCGTTCATTTATTGTAACTCGTGTTTGCTAACATTTGCTCAGTTCTGAGATGAAGGCCACACGGGTAGTAAAAAGGCCAACGTTGGAACTATTTGTGACCTACATCCCTATTGTCGTAATTAAAATGAAAGTTGAACCCTTCCTCTTTATTTTGATACCAAACAACAGCATGCTAGGTACTTAAAATTAGGTATACTTTCAAGCCTCGAAACTCGCGTTGCTATGGTAGTTAATAACTACCTGATTTTAAAGAAAAGCTACCTATTATTTTACCCAGTAGTTATTTTGGCCACCCACACTCTTAGATTGAGCCAAGTATTGCATGATTTGAAGCAATTTTTAACAATTTTGCAAAGGGTTACTCAGTTACACTTGCACTTTACATAGTTCAACTTATATTAGAATACCCCTGGCCCTGTACATGTATAAATCAATTTTATCCTTCACTTGTTTTAAGGAAAGGGGAATACCCCAGAATTCATAGATGCACACTTCTCTGACGTAAACTAGATCATTGATTGGCCAAGGGGGGTTCATCTGGGGTCATGGGAAAGTACCTCTTCTTTGTCTTAGCGTGAGAAAATCTGATCAGTGAAAATGAAATTCAAATCTGTCAATCAACTCATAAACAAAACCTCCCAGCTCTGACGTTTGACCAATCAGAAAGCATTTCAATGTAAACAACCTACTTTGTGAAGTGTGCCCAGAGTCAGCCAACAACCAATCAAATCATGTATATTGCTGTCATACTAAAACAATGCTTTACAGCTAATTATAAATAATACCAATCTCAAAGATGGAATGTAAACTTCAAATTATAAAAACTTGAAATCCCTATGATGTTTTATTATCCCATCGAACGAAGTTCGGAGGGATATAGGGAACGCCTCCGTCCGTACGTACGTCCGTCCGTACGTACGTCCGTCCGGGCAATAACTCAAATACCGTTGGCCCGATTTTGTTCATATTTTGTACACATATACCCTATGAGAGTAGAAGTTCTGCTCGAAAGCCGATTTTCAAAATGGTCGCTCATTTCAAAATGGCGGCCATTTTAGTGCCGATTTTACAGTAATTTAGGTACAATATGTAAAACTGTAATAGCAATATGTTTTAAATGTAAAAAATTATAAAGGACATTAATAATGCTACAAATGTAGATATTAAAGAAGCACATGGCAGCCATCTTGAAAAATGGCGGCCTTTACTCGTCATTTTACGATTTTTGCTGTAACTCAAAAAGAAGTGGAGCGATTTTGTTCATATTTGGTATGTGAATACTATTAGCATTGCACACTGTCTAAAGACACTTTTTGGTAGAAGGCGGCCATTTTGAAAAATGGACGCCATTTTAACGTATTTTACTATAACTCGAAAAGTAGTGGAGCGATTTTGTTCATATTTGGAATGTGAATACTATAAGCATGGCACACTGACACTTTTGGTAGAAGGCGGCCATTTTGAAAAAAATTTTGAAAAATGGCCGCCATTTTAACATATTTTACTATAACTCAAAAAGTAGTGGAGTGATTTTGTTCATATTTGGTATGTGAAAACTATAAGCGTGGCACGCTGTCTATTTCTAATGACACTTTTGGTAAAAGGCCATTTTGAAAATGGCCGCCATTTTAACGTATTTTACTATAACTCGAAAAGTAGCAGAGCGATTTTGTTCATATTTGATATGTGAATACTTTAAGCATGGCACATTGTCTAATAAAACTTTGGGGAGTAGTCAGCAATTTTGAAAAATGGCCACCATTTTATGTGTGTTATTTTACAAGTACGTGTGCGATTTTTCACAAATTTTAGAGGTGGCTACTTAAAAGCATATTATTTCTTCTGATGACAACTTGGCTAGTGAGCAACCATTTTGAAAATGGTGGCCTTTCTGGTGTGTTGTTTTTTATATTTGCTATATTCGTTTGTAAAAATGCCAGCCATTTCTGTTCGATGGGATTCGCTACGCTTTGGCGTTGCCGTTGTTCTGGTTTGTACTCACATGGCTCATTACTCACATAGCTCTTTACTCAAATAGTTTATTACTCACATAGTTTATAGACTGTTTCATACATGGCTTTAGATGTTCGCTTAACATTCGATAATCTTTCCAGTTTGAATTTATTTTCATTTAAAATATTTTCGTAGTTTTTCTCAAGGCTAGAATCAAAGAATTATTGCATATTAGTACATATTCATACAATAGAAAGAATGGGAAAACTATGTTGGAGGTTACATATACATCCTTGTAACAAAAAATTTCCCCAAATTAGTGGTTTAGTTATTCCCAACATTTCTCTTTTTTATTATTAAATATTTATTTGGTGTTACGGCAATAATCTGTTTTTTCATCAAATGTTGTATCACTATTTATATAAGAAATATAAGATAATAAAAAACATAGTGTATAACATAAAAGAAATGCGAGCAACGTGTGGATGTATACTTTGTGTTTATTTCTGTGGGTGAATTTAAAATTAAAGCATTTGGTTATCTAGCTTGCAACAATACACAACTTTTATATGCATTTTGTTTTGAAATAATAAAAAAACACATACGTACCCATCAATGATACGTTCCTGTTGGTCAAGTTTATTCTTTATGATCTCTGGTTGAACTTGGGGTTGAGATGCACTTAGCTTGCAATCACATTCTGCCTCAACCAAGCTTCTTGTGTGGTAAATACATACCAGCACAAACAGTAAGATCCTCATATTCAACATATTAATGAAGATGTTTTCACGTAACATAATTGTGAAATTATTTAATATTAGTATAACGTAGCAGTTTAAAGTCCCAGTGAAAGTCTAGGTTATGAGGTATGGTGAGGTTGACATTAGTCAATGATAAACCAATATTTTGTCTGATTTCTTTTATCGAGTCATCTTTGAATAGTGTTATAAACCTAAGTTTAGTAATGTCATGTATGAACATTCCTCTTTCTAATTAATACAGTTATGATTTAGTGATAATTATCCCATCAAACGAAGTTCGGAAGGATATAGGGAACGCTTCCGTTCGTCCGTACGTATGTACGTCCATACATACGTCCGTCCATCCGGGCAATAACTCAAATACTGTTGGCCAGATTTTGTTCATATTTTGAACACATATACCCTATGGGGCTAGAAGTTCAGCTCGAAAACCAATTTTCAAAATGGCTTCTCATTTAAAAATGGCAGCCATTTTAGTGCTGATTTTCAGTAATTAAGGTAGAATATGTAAAACTGTAATAGTGACCTGAATCGATTGCAAACTTCATATTTGCACATTTGATGAGATAAATAATAGTGTCATATTGTGAAATTATTAAGTTTGCAATTGATTCAGGTCATAGTGTATTTTTGGTATTTTTGTGATAATCAAGAAACCAATGGCCTCTATTGGGATCTGCTGATATCCCCATGTTAAGTCAATGATGAACAGCCCCATGTAAGTCAATACAACCTCACTAAACTAAATAGCCCCTATCTCAGCCTATGTGTGCCCGAGCACTTTAATATTTTCCAAAGAGTTATATGACATTCTATTCTTCATGTTACACCTTAGAATTATTCATTTTGACCATAGGGGTATTTGCCAATAAACGCACCTCTTCCTTTCAGCACATCCAATGGGTTTGTGATATGTGTCATTTGGAGCCTACTTATACAATGTATATGGATAACTTCTTTTTATCATATATCATGTATCTGGCAGTTTGCACTCACATTGTTTGAAAAAAATAAACTTTAACTTAAGAAATTCCCAGAGTACAGAAAATTGTAAATCTGCATAAATTTTTTATTGACATTTTGGTGTTACATGGTTGCTATTGATTGAAAAATACACATAACAGAGAATTTACTAATTTGATAAAGCTGTAAAGTATATTGTTAGTCAGTTTATTTTGACGGTATAACGCCCACAAAGTTGATCAAAATTTGATCCTTTATAAATGTACCCAAAATTTTTAGAGGAGCCCACATAATACGTTAGCTCTCCATATATCTTGAAGTTGAAGTTGTCATTTTTCACATCGATATGTGCTTTCCCTGAAGCAATTTCTTGGACTTTAACGTAGTTCATAACTTCCTCTATGGCCCTGAAAAGAAATCATTAAATAAAGTCTTGTTCAAAATTTGGATGATTTTATCATCCAAATATTATTTTTCATGATTTAATTTTGAAAATGGTCTTCTATATGTGATTTCAAATATTTGAATTTTCCTCCAATTTAGCAACAAAAGTAACAACAATATTATTTGACAATTTTAGCAGAAAATAAATATTCACAGTTTTGGGGGCGGAGGTTGGTGGTTGACGGTTGGTGGATGGCGGTGGTGTTTAGACTGACTTTTTTTCAAAATCATTTTCATGTTCTCAGAAGTTCAAATCTGACTTAAGATTTAAGATTTCACCTTCAATGACCATGTCAGTGTTACAGAGCTGTCAAGTGTCCCGCGAATGGCGGGATTATCCCGCGAATTTGATCAAAATTAGGCTAATTCGCGTGTCCCGCAATGTCCCGCGAAGTCCCGCAAATGTGGCTTTGACCTCCGCGAATTTCCGAAATTGTTGCAATCCCCTATATTGTGATTATCTGATCTTTTATAAGAAGCTAAGTTTTTGCACTTTTGAGGAGTAAAGTTTACCTAATTTTAAGTACCTAGCATGCTGTTGTTTGGTATCAAAATAAAGGGGAAAGGTTCAACTTTCATTTTAATTACGAAAATAGGGATGTAGGTCACAAATAGTTCCAACGTTGGCCTTTTTACTACCCGTGTGGCCTTCATCTCAGAACTGAGCAAATATTAGCGAACGCGAGTTACAATAAATGGACGCTGATATCTAGAAAGGGTTTGTAGAAAAACACGGGTACCGGGTAGTAAATCCTCCATGCTGGGTTCAAACTTGGTACCCATTACCCGGTCAAAAAAACGGGAACCCAAACAACGAAAAATACGAATATATAACATAATAGATTATGAGAAAACGTGTAAGATTTGTTTTGAATTTACAAATGTATGTAACATCCTTCAAAATTGAGCTAGAGGCTTCAAATAAAAAGCATATTTTAAGGCTCTTTTCTTCCTCTATCGTCATGGCCATATTTTCATTGGTTATGGGAGGGGGGTGCGATCGCACCATCGCACCCTCTCCTGGCTACGCCTATGACATTGTAAGACATAACAATTTACAATTCAGTGGACATTTTGTCGAAAATTGGGATAACTTAAATTATGATTAATAATCAAAATCTTACACGTTGCATCCTTTAAATTAACACACGTCACCTCTCTGCTAAAGCAATGATAGCTATTTACAGGTTTAAATCATAATCAAAACAATTCATGTACCAACATACGAAGTATTGAAAATAGAGTAAGATTGATTTGTCTTGTTTTTCAAATCGTCTTACAATGCCATTGGCGTAGCCAGGAGGGGGTGCGATCGCACCCCCCCCCCCTTCATTACCAATGGAAATATGACCATGATGATAGAGGAAGAAAAGAGCCTTAAAATGCTTTTTATTTGAAGCTTCTAGCTCAATTTTGAAGGAAGTAACATACATTTTTATAATTCAAAACAAATCTTACACGTTTTCTAATGATCTAATTATGTTGTATATTCGTATATTTCGTTTTTTGGGTACCCGTTTTTTTCGACCGGGTACCAAGTTTGAACCCAGCATGGAGGATTTACTACCCAGTACCCGGTTTTTTCTACAAACCCTATCTAGAAAAGTAACCTCATTTCCTATAATTTGATGTAGATTAATCGAACCCCTATATCATGGGCTTTCAATTGAAAGCCCATGCCTACAGTATATGGATAGGTACATATATAACATTATGGGGGTAAGCGTTTCATAGTTGGTCACGACGCCAGAAGTGCAAAGTATTGTTCCGAATTTTTGAATTTCGTGTTGGATTACGGTACTCACACCTGAAGCATGGTTTTTGTTTTTGATAAATTACAATGAAGTATAATAATATTCCTATGCGTATTTTGTGAAATTGTGTTGACGTTTATTTAAGTTACAATGTAACGGTGCATTCATTATATTTGATTAATCAGTATCTGAAAGTTTGATTTAAGTACTTTTACACGCTTTTACATTAGTCCCAATCACGCAAATCCCTTGAATGTCCCGGGACATCCTGCAAATTTAGGTGGATGTCCCGCGAAATCCCGCAAATTTAGGGCACTTTGTCTAAAAAATCTGTCCCTCTATGAAGTTTTTGGTGGTACCCCTGTTAACTGTCCCGCAATTAGGGTGTTTGTCCCTCGAATGGTCCCGCGAAATCCCGCGAATTTGATAAAAAAAATTGGCCTATTAGCACAATCACGCAAATCCCTAAATGTCCCGCGAAATCCCGCGAATTTAGTAGATGTCCCGCAAATCCCGCAAATTTTGTGCACTTGGTCTAAAAAATCTGTCCCGCGAGAAAATCTTTAGGGGTTGACAGTACTGGTGTTAAAAAGGGTATTTTTTCAACTTGCTTCAAATTGACCAGTTTATTTAGTAGTAATCTACAAGTTTTCAGAAATTCAAATCTGAATAGATTGAACTCATAATATTGTGGGCAACAAGGGGGTGACATTTTTTCATGTTAATGCCTTGTTAAATAATGTTGTATCATTAGGTATAAGAACTAGATTTTTTTTATTCAGAACAACTTTTTTGCTGGTGAGTTGATTTCTCACTCATTTTTCAATGGATTTTTATTGTTTTTATATATGGGCCCTAAAGTGTTTGAAAATTCAAGTTAACACTAAAATATTGCATATTCCGCTATATTTCGCCAAAGATATCTGACGGGGTAATATTGAATCTTTTTTAGTTTGCAAGATAACAATAACCATGAATTGAAATTTAAACATCACAATATTAATGTAAGGTAAGACATCATTCAAAAAGTAATAGGGTCAGAGGACGCTATTAAACTACGAATGAAAGCAGGTGTGACATTACTATTTTTGCAACTTTGTGAATCTTTCATAACAATATGAATCCTACAGAAATCCAACTTTAATAATTATCTTCGTAAATTTAAAGGGATATTCTCTCCTATTATGGAAGCTACAACATGGAAGCTATAACATAGCAAAACACAGGAAAATGTTTTGATTATGGTCAGATTTTACACAGGAGGTGATATCATCAACTCGAATACCCTTCACAGGGAGATATGCCGAGTACTTAAATAGTACCCATGGCATTTTAGCTCTAATTGAGTATGCATATCAGTAAATATTAGAACTAAATGAGCACTTATGACATGAGTACTGATTTGTTGCATTTTTAGTAGTAATTGAGTACTCATATGGTGGGTAACCGGACAACTCATCCCCTAGACAACTCATCCCTGGACAACTCATCCCCTGGACAACTCATCCCCTACACAACTCATCCCCTGGGCAACTCATCCTTTGGCATGTTTGAGTAATTTAATGTAATATTATTAATTCATATATAATTCAAATGATTTTTAAATGTATTGGCTATCATGATCAGTTTTAAGATTCAAAATCATATATTACATGAACACTGGTACTCCACGGTACTACTATGGTATTGTCAAGGATATAGTCAACCAATTAATCTGTAATTTGTTTTTTTAATATTTACCTTAAATTTTACTTTTAATATACAATTTCAATATTATGTTAACATTGATCGAAGTAGCTGCTTTGATGTTATAAGCTCCTTTGATGACATAATATGTTTGTTGTTCAATGTTCAAATATTCTTTAATCCAAAGATTATTTTTTCACAGCAGTCACAGATGAAGTTACTGAAATTCATGTTACAAAATTATGCAGAGAGAAAATTTTATTTTTTGTCATGAATAATAAGTCATGTAATATAAGGACAAGATATAATGTTTTAATGGCACGTTTGACTGTTTGACCATTTTATTTGTGTCAATAAAGTGAAAAATAATATTTAGAATGATTCAAGATGTATTTAATAAATATTTATTTTCCAAAAAACTAAATTGGCTTCATGTGATAAAGGATGAGTTGTCTAGGGGATGAGTTGTCCAGGGATGAGTTGTCTAGGGGATGAGTTGTCCGTAAGCCATATGGTGAGTGATAAAGTAGCACTAATTCCATTGATTTTTCATTACTCAATGAGCACTCATACATATGCCGAGTACTCAGTTAGTACAAAATTAGTACTAAATTAGCACTCATAGCATGAGTGCTCATGAGCACGATTTTGCCAGAGTGTTAATTTACCAACTAATATTGTACTAATTGAGTAATCGGCATACCGTATTCTCTGTAATTACCGCCCACTCTCTAATAAGCGCCCACCCCGCTTCACAAAGTTCAAGAAACATCGAGGAATCAACAAGAATTGAAGAATATATCAGGAAAAAAATATTTCTCAAAATCCAGGAGCGGGCGATAATAGAGTACTTACCCTAAAACTGCTGTAAACACGACGCGTTTTGTAATTCTATGCATCCTCTCGATACATATCTATCGATGGGTGCTTCCCACACCATACCATGCTAATATTGTCTCCAAATAGTCCATAATGAATGAAGGAATTGTTCTTTATCGGCATTCAGAAATTTCAAAAGCTACTGCGCAGATGTTCTGCGCATGTCAAGGTCGTGAACTTTCTGGTTTCTTTTTAATGTTTCTCGACTTTTACACGACTTTTGCACGAATAATGATGATCTCTCATCAAATTAGAAATAATGTATAACTTTAGATCGATATCCAGCAGTCTCTAGTGGAAATATTGAAGGTAATCGGCGATAATGACAAAGTGGGCGTGCCGGAAATAAATTAGACATAGACGGGTCTTCAACCACTGTCAATATTGTCTAAGCGATCTTTACCGTATTCTCTCCAATAACAGCACTTGTCATATTATTATAAAAATATGTTGAAGAAAATGCATTCTTGTCAAGAAAAATTGCCATACATGAAATTCCTCGGGATTTCTGATTTCTTTCATACATGGGCGCTTATAAGAATGGTCTAAATAATGTATTTTCAATTTTCTAAACGCCCTGGGCGCTAATTACAGAGAATACGGTATCTCCCTGTGTTGCCCATAACAGTGTAGGAAAGTAGCAG